ACTAATAAATGAATGTTATTGAAGGAAATACTTACCATGCCAAATATTTCTATATCTAGTTTAAAATTCCCACCAATGCCATTAATTTTAATAAGATTAGGGAAATCTAGACTTCCTCTCATCATAGGATCATGTGTTGATAACATCTGTGTAAATATTAACTGGGGTCCATTATGTATCAATAATACAAAATAATATGTGATCGTATCTGAAATATAAATAGATAGAAGGTATTCAGAAAACACAAAAAGTCTTGAGGGAAAGAAGTGACGGGATTTATTTTATAATGGTTGCAAAGTTCTGAATATATTGACATGTTTATCCTTGCATTTATTGGTTGGTTGGGCAGCATACTTTCCTAATTTCAATTAATCCATACCTTAAGAATATGATCTACACCAGGAGAAGTTTATTTGTTAATGCTGTTTTGTAAACTGCTCAACATAAAATTAAATGAATTTATAAATGATCATCAATAGGTAATCTGCCATCTTTTGTACTATTGAATGCTCTCTAGCAATGAGTACAACGTTTGCATATTATATCACATCAGCTTACTCATAAACATCACTTGCCCTAGTAGTTCCGAATGCATCAAAAACTATATTATTTAGTTTGTATTCTGAATTTGGAAATCATGGACACCTACCTTGTGTAGTTCCGATTTTAGTTACAAATTCTTTCTTGAGTGGTAATCTGATATCACTTATTGTAAGTGAACCTTTAGGTCCACCACACATATCTTCTAATTGACCAGTATCTTTTAATCTCTGTACTTCTGTTAAATAAGCTTGACGTTTCTGACCTGTAAAACATTCAATTTAAATATGTCATTACAAAATTTATTTCAAGTCAATAGCCTTCTGAAAGAAAAAAATATACAGATTACAGGATAATTTCTGGCAAAGTGCTTTCTATTAAAGCTCCCACATAAAGATTATTATGTAGTTTGAGACAATTAAAACTATTTTGGTCTAAAATTGTAAATTTTTTACTTAAACATACATTATGCAAGAGCTATATCTGCCTATTGCAGGTCTTTCTTTAGGCCTGAAATGTTATCTAAATTATTAATTAGACATTAATTAACTTATCCAGACCATAATCAACTCTCAATGTCAATGCTAGCCTGCAATATTTACTGGATTAGGATCCGATTTGCTGCTCAATATTTCATTCATGATTCAATCATAAAATGTGATTATGTTTTTATCATACCGACTTTAGTAATGATGATCGAGGCTAGGTCAAAAATTCAATTGCTAAATTCTCGGTTCAAAGTGTATCAATTTGAAATTTTCAGCAAATTCCCTTTACAGTTACATTATCTAGTTTTTAACTATTATAGTGAGAACTGCCAGTTCTTTATCTAATCTCCCATATTGTATCTTTAAGCTGTGGCATTTTAAAGATTACACTAATAAATTGGTTTCTATTTATTTCCATTTTCCTGCTCATGTGTCTTAAATCTTATGTTTTTGTTATTTTTAGTAATACTCAGATGTGCTTAATGGCTATCAAATGACACTTTAGATGTTTTGATTTGGGGAAATCTGGCCTTGTACTCACTTTTTTCGCAAGAGCACCATTTTTTTTTTACTTTTTACATTTTGTTTTCAAAATATCGGATTTTTTTTCGACTACTTAATAACAGTCTACATTTAAAAAAAAAGCGTGCATATATTTTTTACTATTTCAATTATTTTGAAATGCCATTTTTATAACTATCAAATTATTGCATGTAAGAAATTCTTGGGAATTCCAATAGCTATTATCTACATTTTCGTTTTATGTATATTTTGATCTTTCCTAATAATACAACTTTATGGAATTAAAACTTCTTGGTTTATTACATGCAATGTTTCAATACTCTTACAGGTATCTTTATTTTAAGCTTAATATACGTCTCAAGTATAATATTTTGTTCTTGATTACAACAATTAGTATTGTTAAAACAATTTGTTGTACATCTATATAGGTCAACAAGTAAATATGCTGATTATTAAGTAACTATTAAGATATCTCCAAATATTCATGCCTGAAGTGAGGACTAGTTTGATGAACTTACATGCGATAAGAAGTAATCTGTTACATTCTACTTGTTCTGATGAACCAACAAAAGCCGAGTTACCACTACAACACTGATTTAAAGCATTACTTGTCTGCATTATAATACTCTGTTCCTGTTGTACTAATTCTTGTAGTTCCTGAAAATACATACAATAATACTAACTCAGTTCATCTAAAAATGCAATGTCAGTTTAATATTTTTTTTACAAAGGACATTTCTTTTAAAATGCAAAATAAACCGATTAAATTTTACTGTCTGCAGCAAGAGTGTTGTCTTCCAAGTCTACCCCAAGGTTTATCAACTCCGAAAAATCCATATAAAAAAAGTTTAGCCAAGAGTCATGAGTAGGTCAAATGCATCTTTCGGGTATCTGAGGAAACTGAAATGGTAAACCATGTTAAATTAGAGTACTGGTTGATAAAGTCTTTAACTGGGCCTGCTGATCTCAATAAATATTAGGTTAAAATTTCTAACCCTTGTGTAGGTGTTACATTCCTAACTTGAAGTTCATTTTGTTTGCACGTATGCATGACAAGGAAATGTCTTTACCTTTATTCGTTCTTGTAATGTTTTTCTTGATGTAGGTGCTGGAGGATAATCGGGCATGTCAATTTCTTCTTCCTCCACGTCTGCATCAGTATAATCACTGTTTCTAATGATCTTCATTTTAGCTGGTGGCGGTTTCTCATTATATCTACAATAAAACATCAATTAATTATATTACTTACATTCTTGTTACATCACTGTTCAGTACTAAACAGTCAACAATATAAATGTTTTAACTTCATGAAAGAGACGATTTGAAATCATGATAGTATTATAACTATCAAATATTTGTATATAATGTGAAATTACTAGGTAAGAAGTAAAAAGTAGCATCATTGTTCTGGAAAGTGTAGACATACAGACATATTTGTCAACAAATTTTTATGTGACAATGTCAGTATGTTAAAAATTAAATTCTAGCAGCTCACCTTTTAGATCTATACATACTGACACTGTAAATTAATGGCGATGTGGGTTCTTCACCAGAGGATTTATCACCTCCTCTCTTTCGCTGAAAAATCATGAATGTGTAACAATATAACACAGTAAATATTGTTTTAATATCAGCATAGCAACAGGTATCACAGTAGGGTTGACCCTAGGGGTGAATATGGAATGCAATAGCAAAACATTCTTCTTAGCTATAAAATTTCCAGTCAGTTCTCGATTAGAAGGTAAGTGGTATCAGGTCTTTAAAAAAAGTCTTAAACAGTCTTAAACTCACTGCCCTGGCCATACATGCATTTATTTTTCAGCTAAAGAAAAAAGTTTATTGTTGGATAATACTGATAGTGATACTTACAGGTGCAGCAACTGGTCTACCCGAGTCATCAGAGTCCATAGCTTCATCCAATAAGTCATCAATATCAGCTTTATCATCAGTATCATCTAAATATGTCTGCTCCTGACTATCAGCACTACTTTGACTGGTAACACTTGTCATACTACATGTAGCTTGATCTATCGGCCTTCTTTGTTCTCTATTACCTTGATCTCCACGACCTACCACAGAGATATCTTCAAAACTATCATAACTGGCCTCACTTGTCAAACTCTGTCGGTGTCCAGCATGAGGTAGAACACTTTCTCTTCGGACAGATGCGGGAACAAATGCACTCAAGCTGACATCATCACCATCATCATCATAAAATTCTGACATAGGTTTCTTTCGCAACTGAACACATTCTGATTCGGCGGATGACTGTTCGATACAATCATCTTCTGATTCTGTTGTGGGTTCTGTGTCATCTGTTTCACACATAGGGGGCTGTGGCCGGTCATCAATCTGATCATCAGAATCACTGTCAAAGCTATCATTAAATTTTGTGTTTGGTTTAGCTGGTTGTTCCCCATTTTTACTTTTAGAAATGAGGCCATAGATACTACTAGGTCGCACCTGATTAGAAGAGGGTGTCGGAACTGGAGGAGGTTTACTTGTTATGGTTGCAGACCTGACCTGTTGACCTTGTTTCCTGTCCTCATCACTACTACCGGATTTCTTTTCACCTCTCTTGAAATGGAAGGTAGCAACAGGACTCTCAGGATCAGCAGGTACATCAAAACCCATGGCAGCTAACTTCTGGTCAAAATCTAAAGAGAAAAGTCAATTTAAAATTCTTAATGATCACATCATCAATGGTCTATAATTAACAAAATATTGGATTTACCCGAGTGACTGACAGTTGTACATATCACCTAATTCATCAATGTAGCATTTCAAATTAGTGATAAAAAATAAAATAAAAAGAAGTAAGCTTATCAAAATATATGTAAAAGGGCTCACATAGATATTGAATTCAAATAGTTTTCCAAGGTTATCTTAACTGATTTTAAAATATATGCACCAACATTATTTAATAATGTTAATTCAAAATCAAAGATATAAACTAGTTATTGAAAATTAAAAAAGCAAAAAACAAATTGAAAAATTGATCTTCAAATAGTGAAATCAGCATTTGACAGTCAACATAGTTTGAACATAGTGATATACAATACATAAGCTGAGAAATTAATCCAATAAATAAAGTAGTTCAGTTCTCTAAATTTAACATTACACACCAGACCATATTGTGCACAACAATGAAATGAAAGTGCTTTAAAAAGAAAACATTGTAAACAAATGCCTTTTGTATCAAACTCGTTCAGAATTATAAATAAAAGAACATGCAATAAATAAAATTGAGAAAACTAAGGTTTAAACTGTATCAGAATGTATATCAACAAACCCTCATACCTACATGTACATGTACCATATTTAAAATGCAAGTAAAAATGAATAAGTAGCATGCAAATGATCAAAACAGAAACCGAACAAATGTCAAAGACAAATTGATACCTTCTTTAATATCAATAGTTGGGCTTATAATTTTATCATATGATTCACTCTCTTCCATTTCTACATCACTATCATGATCTGTATAATGGTCAGTTTAAAAGATAAAATATGATGGTAGCCATCTTTAAGATTTTTTATCTTCGACATTGCAAACATGACTTATTGGTCAATTTAAATCAACATTGGTGTTGTTATCTTACAGGGAAAAGATGGGCTTCTGATATCCAATATTTAAGACAAAATGAAAATTTTAAAACTGGCACATTTCTAATGAAGCAACTCTTTGAACGAGGCTAACATATTCTACAGGAGAATACTAACGGTGTAGACCGGAATAACTAGATGCCAAAGACTACATATGCATTCAATGGATAATTATGGTGTATTGTAAAAAGTTCTGTGTTCATCATATTTAGACATAGTGGATAACACTATAATAGTTCATTACCTGCTCTCGCTCTAGCTTTGATAGCATCTCTCTGATCACCAGTTTGACTTTTAGCGGGACTTGATTTAACAGTCTTCATAGGGCTTGATTGAACTGCGGGAGGGGGTGGAGGGGGAGGGGGTATTACTTGATTTACGTCCTGTAACATATGAATATCAAAATGTCCTGTATTAAACATATGAATATCAAAATAAATACCTTAGATACATGTACAAAAATACAGCTATTGTAACTCTCATAAATGTCTTTATTCAAAATTTACGTCTGTATGTAGACGATCTATTATATCTTTATTTCGTTTTGTGTCTGACAAAAATATCAGGTGTTCTAAAAAGAGCATGCACACTCTGTCTCACAACTTTGATGTGATCAAAACTAAGAATAATGCTTCAAGCTTACTTTTATCAAATAAATAACTATCTTAATTTCGATAAAACATCAGAGAATAATGTCATAGTAGTAAAATAACTTACAGTTTCAGTATCTGTTTTGTCGTTCAAAATACCATTCTTCCATCGGTTTTGAATGACATTCAACTCAGCCATTCTTTCTTGTCGTATCTTGTCAACATGGTTATGACTCTTATCACTGTTGTGTGTCTGTTCCATTAATCGTTGCTGTACAGACTTCATGGTACAACTCACTTTAGCCGGTGATTGAACTTTTGGCGGAGATTTACAAGTTGGAGAATGATTGATCTGGGAAGCACGCTCCTGTATACTTTCCACAAAACTCTTGCTTGGTGTCAGGCCCTTGCTTTTTGGAGAAGAGACAGGTTTTTGTGTCAGCTTGCTAGAAGATGTTAAAACTGAGCCTAATGCAATCGGCTGAGCTGCTTTTACTGGGGCTGGAGCAGGAGCAGGATTGACTTTCTTTATATGAGCTACTTGGTTAGTAGAAGACATCTGTTCCCAAGCAGACATACGAGCCAAGACAGGGTAGGCTGTAGGTTCTTCATCTTGTTTAGGTTTAGCTGCCTTCTGTTGCCATGTAGCCATTCTACTGGACACAGGAAGTGATGCTGGATCATCTGCTGTGGTCTTGTGAACAGTCATACCCTGGGGAGAATCTGAAGCTGTAGTATTGTTATTTTTCAGTGGGGATTTTGATTTGAAAGCAGCCTGTGTTACTGGTGTACAGATTTGTTTGGGTAGGGGTTTTACTTTCGAGGTCGAAACCACTGGAGTAGATTTGGGTGGATTGGATGCTTTCTGCTGCCAATTTGCCATCCGTGCAGACACAGGAGTCTGTGTAGGATCACCAACCTTAGGCGTGGTATCGCTTTTCTTAGCCCATTTAGCAAATCTTTCAGATACAGGTTTAGCTGTAGGTTCATCATCTGTTTGGTCTGAAGGACTTTCATTTAAACCTTTAGCATTAACTGGTATCTGATCTGTATCTTGAGCACTCCTAGACTGTTGAGGTGTTCTTAATGGGGAAGACATTGTTTGTGTAACTACTGGTTTGGCAGGAGAACCAAGAGTCATATATGTAGTTGATACTGGTGTCTTCCTGGGAGACTGCACACTGGCAACTGGCTTGCAGGGGGAGTGTTTGGCTATTGTTGATGGCATGGGTGGTGGAGGAGGGGCATGTGTTTTTTTAGGTGATGGAGGAACTGCAAGTTTTGGAGGTTCCGGTGCCCGTGTCTTATGGTGACTAAGGCTTGTGTTTTCAGAGACTGGTGCTTTTGGCGGCTGCCATTTGGGTTTTTTCTCTTCTTCTTTACTAAAATAAAAGAATTACAGAAATTAAAAAAGGTAGGTTACCAGGCAATGAAACATACGCCCACAGCAGTTAAATCGTACTAGCAGTCAACAAGGGTTGTCACATATTTAATCTTTTGAAGATAATGGGGGGATTTACAAGACAATTTCATACAGATTAGATTATAGTTTTTTTTTGTCCTTTGAAGGTTCACAAGGTGCTACAAACTGAAACAAAGGTCATAAGACTAGACGTAATTAACAGAAATTGCCGAAATTCAACAGGCTTCTTTGTTTCACTAAATTCAATAATGCATATAAATTTCATACAAATCGAATGATGACTTTGTCGTTAGAGTGTTCATAGGGTTTGACAAAGGGAAACAAGGGCCTTGGTTCAACTCTGCAAGTAATATACAGAAATTTTAAATGGAAAGTATTGAAATTAAATAGGATTTTTCATCTCAGTACCGTAATGTAAACAACATATATCAATTTCAAAACAATCAGATGATAAATTTTAATGTAGCCTGTAGAGTTTTCACATGAAAGTGGACAACAGACGGACGAACAGATCGTTGGAGGCGATGGCAATATATGACCAGATTTCCATGTTGGGCATATAACTATAAACACAACAATAACTCAAAATTTCCCAAATCAGTAAGCTCTCTGAAATCTGAAGAACTATTCATTAAGTCATTCATCGTAGACACTAAATAATTTGAACAATGGAGAGGAACCCAGTACACTTATTCTACTGCTGAAAGATCTAATAGTAAGTGCAGACCACACATAATTTACACAAAATAACCCCCCAAATACGTGGACAAGACACAATACGGAGAAATCACAAACAAACCAACAAGTCAAATTAAGTGAATGGATCCGGGGGCTAGCCGTAAGCATCCACTGCGCTGTACAGTCCCGGGCCTGTAGTGATACAGACATCACTCAAATTTGAAAACAATCAGGAACAATACTGAATAAAAAGAAGCAATGAGAAAAAGTAACCTGACTCGAAAGACAGCCGTCTTCATTTACAGTAACAGCAGCTCCTGATATACTACCCGTTTCATGTTGCTGTTTTTGAGAGACATCTCTTGTAAGTTTGTTTTCATATCAACTAAAGCCTATTATGCAGACACTGTATAGCGCAGTAGATGCGCTTATGTCAGCCCTCCGATCCTCACATTTGATTTTGATAGCACTTTCATTATTATTACAATGTTCGGTGTTGTGTCCTGTTTGCAGGTTTGTCTGTGTTGTGTTCCCCTGCACTTACTAATGGAATGAGCTAAAAAAAATTTACAGGACACTTTGAAAAATAACCTAAAATATATTTACGGATATTTTACATTTGTTGTTGTAGAAACAGGTTTACCTTATTGTTGGATGGCTTAAATCGTCCTCCCAGCTGTTAATATTGGAAGCAAGCTTAGCAAATCTATTTCCCCTGGATGATGAAAATACTGGTTCAGGTTCTCTAGGGGGAGGTGATGATAAACTCTTCCTTGGCACAGGAACTGGTACGCTTGTTTCTAGAATAACAATTTACACATAATATTACTGTACTGTATACAAAATTTGAATTACATAAAAGATGGAACAATAAAATTGGATAAACGTCAACTTGATACAAAGGAATTCAACATGAGACTAACATATGGTGGAATTTTATTTTAATAACTTGCTTGCATGTAGGGGTCTTTGGGGTTGGGTGATTTACAATAAAGTTTGTGCATGTGGGTATTCCCAAACAAATGGTGTAATCCTGACTAGTCAAAAGTCAGTTTCTATGCATTGTTTATTTGTTATCAGTCATGTACTCCAGTCAGTGTAGTCAATCTCTCAGTTATTCAATAGATAACGTAATTATAGAATATGCTGAAAATTTGCTCCACTCTGAACCGAGATATTAGGTTTTGAATTTTAGGCTAGCCTCAATCATCATTACTAAAGTCGGTAAATAAAAAACAAAGTCTCGATTATCCATTTAGTTATTTTTTAAAAAATGTATTCCAATCTGCTAAATATCACAGGCTAGCGATGGCATCAAGAGCTGATTATGGTCTGGATAAGTTAATTATTGTCTAATTAATAATTTAGATAACAAGGTTCTACAAACTGATTACAAGGGCCTTAACTCTGGAAGTAATTTACAGAAATTGTTGAAATTTGAGGTTTTTTGGTTTCACTAATTTAAAATAAAGCTTATTTCATACAGATTGGATAACTTTTGTCATTCGAACGTTCACATGTTCAACAAAGAAAAAAACAAGGGACATAACACTAGAATTGACTGAAACTGCTGAAATTAAATAGGCTTCTTCGTTTCTCTAATTTAAATAATGCATATAAATTTCCAACAGGTCAGATTTTAGCAATTGAATGTTCAAAAGGTTCAACAAAGACAAGGATGATAACTCTAGACGTAATTATTGGAAATTGCTGAAATTCAATAGGATTCTTCGGTTCACTAATTTAAATGATGCATATAAATTTTGTACAGATCAGATAACTTTCGTCATTTGAACTATCACAAAGTTCAACAAAGTTAAACAAGGGTCATAACTCTCAACATAATTAATGGAAATTGTTGAAATTCATTATGATTCTTCGTTTCGCTAATCTAAATGATGCATATACATTTCATACAAATTGGATGATAACTTTTGTTGTTCGATCATGAGCACATACACAAAGTTCAACAAAGTGCAATAACTCTAGATGTACATATAATTAAGGGAAATTGCTGAAATTCGAAAGACTTCTTCGTTTCACTAAGTTTAAATGATGCATATAAATTTCACACTGTTATAAACAACATTTATCAATATAAAAACAATCAGATGATAAATGTAGCCTGTAGAGAGTTCACAAGAATTTCTGGATGACGGGCCATGTGGTCGTATAAAAACTGACTTCGAGTTGTATAAATATCTAATCAATTTGATGATAACTTTAGCCCCTTGAGTGCCAACAAGATTTTCAAATTGATCAAAGGTGAAAATCAATAGGTTCCTTGTCTAATGAACAGTAAGGCCGCGGTTAATTAATTGTTTCTCATGACCTGCCCGCATGTCCGTTTTCATCCGCAATAATTACGCACTTCCATAATCAATTTGATGATAACTTTAGCCCCTTGAGTGCCAACAAGATTTTCAAATTGATCAAAGGTGAAAATCAATAGGTTCCTTGTCTAATGAACAGTAAGGCCGCGGTTAATCATTGTTTGTTTCTCGTGACCCGCCCGCATGTCCGTTTTCATCCGCAATAATTACGCACTTCCATAATTATTTGGTCAAATTTAGACACGTCAAAAATTTGTCCTATAAAAATATATTTGTTTGCCTTTAAATTTGAACAATGAATTGACGCATTAAAATCCACTATTTGTCGATGAACATGACACAGTAATGTGGACATATAAAAAACCTACCTCCATCAGAAACATCTGACCAATCGGCACGATTATCTTTTAGTACTGCTAGTCTAGATTTAACACCAGTTATTGCTGGAGTATCAGATTTAATACTAACTTCTTGCTGTCTTGAACAGTGACGTTTTGGGGAGTCTTCAAAGAAAATAAAGAAAAATATAATGATACAGCATTTAACTCATAAAGTGCTTAAAAGATCTGGCTGACTAAAGATTAATAATAAACTATCATAAACTTATAATTTTCTATCAAAATTTAAATCTTGGTGTAGTAGGACATTCATCGCAGCAAGCTTAAGGATGCATTAACCAAAAGCTACATCTGCCTAAAATGTTATATAAATAATTAATTAAACATTTTTATTTACAATACATGTACATGCAAAGCCCATAATCAACTCTCTAAAGAGTAAAACTTATAATTTTCTATATCAAAATTTAAATCTTGGTGTAGTAGGACATTCACAGCAAGCTTAAGGATGCATTAACCAAGAGCTAAATCTGCCTAAAATGTTATATAAATAATTAATTAAACATTTATTTACAATACATGTACATGCCAAGCCCATAATAAACTCTCTAAAACTTTGGATGGTTGATTTTCAACGGATCAGGGACCATACATAGAATTTTGCTAAAATTGATATTTTTTTTAAAGCACTTTTAGTGGAATTTTATATTTTTATCAAGTTTTATGTTATTTTTATAATGTTTTTATCATTATCAAACATGATTTTTTTCCTACACACAAGTATATACTGCACTGAAGACACTAAACAACTTATCTTCACTCCAAGAAGTGGTTAATAACTTATCTTCGGTCCATGAAGTGGTGTTCAACCAGTGACAAGTGTTATGTGGATAAGAACGTCCCACCAATAGCACTGGTGGTATTAATGGTTGCAGTCATCTTCTCCTCTAGCAGGCTCATATATCCACATAACATTAGTCCCGTTTACACATGGCTGTAAAGTGCGTGCCGTTCTCGGCACGGTATAAGGACACAATAAATTTCAAGAAATTGACCCGTTTACATTACTCTACAATAACCAGTCTCGTAGCGTACCAGACACACCAAATGTGGAACTCTTCACAGGAAAAAGTTCAGTCCTGTCCCTATGCAAATTACACCGATGAAAACAATTACGGCGGTTGATTTAGTTTTGGCAGCCATTTTGACAGAAATGATGAAATCTTACATAATGCATCTTTATTGTATTATAAATTAATTACTGTGTGTTGAACTAAGCACTAGATTTACAACAAATGTCTTTATCTAAATCTTACATAATGTATCTTAGTTCTTACATTAAAACTAGCCATTTTTGCTATAATAGTTTGAAAGTAGATAATCTAAAATGAATAATTTGAAAATTTCATTCAAATTACTCTATTGCAAGCGAAGATATTAGCCTTTGAAGGTTTGACAGATGTGTGCAATAATTTCAACCACCGTACTGGTTGATCGAAGCTAAGTCTCAGTCCTCCATATTTGATTAAATCAAAGTATCGCTGAACCATTCTAATCTATTTAATATTGGAGAAATCTGATGCCATCGAGAGTTGATTAAGGCCTGGATCAGTTTATTAATGTCTAATTAATACTTTAGAAAACATTTCAGGCCTAAAGAAAGACCTGCAATAAGTAAATTTTAATGTTAAAAGATACATTAAACATGCATTATGCAAGGGCTAAATCTGATTATTGCAAGTCTTAATTTAGGCTTCAGATGTTATAGAAATTATAAATTAGATCTTTATTTAAACAACAAGACCAAAATCAACTCTGTAGACCCACGGATGGCTCGGCTACAGCTCGGATTTAAATAGGATTTCACTCATTGATTAAATCAAATACATGTAAGGGGTAACCTGATGAAAATACGTCAGTTAGATCGAGGCTAAATGATAGAGTGTACCTAGCGAGGCCGCTGTAAAGCGTTTCCGTATGCCATTGAAAACTTTACTTGATAATCGAGATATGTAGGTGGAGTTAACGCCTGTCAATCAAACGATTGGCGATGGTGAAGACCCATTTCGCTACCATTTTTAGTCAAATATTACAACGATGATAACTATGTTCAGAATAAAGTAATTTGACTGAATTTTTCAATATATTCTTCTTTCATCATCTACTTTTGAACTGTTATAGCAAGAATGGCCAACTCTCTATAAAAATGTCCCATAATGTATCTTTAACTAAAAGCTAAATCAGGCTATTTCAAGTCATTCTTTAGTCTTCAGATGTTATAGAAATTATGATTTAGACCTTCATTTACATGACAGTGACACTCTCAAAATAAACTCTGTAGACCCTCGGACGGTTTGGAATTAAACAGTCGTCGATTTAATAATTAAATCAATAAATGGCTGACCGTTATTCATTGACGTCACTACCGGAGACTGCTGATGAAAGGCCTGCCAATCGAGGGTACCGTAGCCATTGAGAATGTTACTTGATAATCGCAAATATGTGGGTGGACTGGAGTTATCGTCTGTCAATCAAATGATTGGCAATTCTCACAGAGGGTGTAAAGACAGTTGATGCCTATTCTAGTCCAAACTTCCAACGGTGACAAAGTTTAGAATAAAGTAATTTGACTGAAATTTTCAATTTTTTATCATCTATTTTTTCAATTAGAGCAAGAATAGCCAAACCTCTATTATTATTAGACTTTTTTAACTAAGGTATAATGAAGCTATGATAATTAGATATTGTCAAAAAAAATGGTGATCACTTTAAGATTTCATGATGGACCACAGTATTTAAATTCTAAGTTCTAAATGTACAGTATCCAATCAACAAATGTAAATATTTTTACTAAGAATTCCAATGTCACAGTACAATATACGTGCACTAATCAAAACCTCATCATACCATCATCATCTGGTATATTATGTGTAGTATTTTCTGAAAATGGTATCGTTCGCTTTCTTGGGGCTGGATCTGGAGTCTTGCCCAATTTTTCATTTAACATCTCTCTTCTCTGTCGGGTTCTCTCTATCAATCTCTACAATAGTAACATTTAGATATTAGCTTAAATTAATTTTAAGCTCAATTCAGACAAGTAAATATTAATTTCATAATATTTTAAGTGCACTGGGGCTTTATTTGGAAGAGGTGATGTACCACTTATGTTACATGTAGTTTTGCATTGTTAATTAAAATACAACTAGGATATTGACAGCGATAACCTCAAAAAAGAAGACTTTTTTTTAGAGGCTATACTGTGATTTATGACAAATTATCTGCTTGGTATCCAGGGGCAAAGTCCCTTTGACTTAATGCTAGAAAACCACATTTTGTGACGTCTAAAGTAAGAATGTTGAAATGCTTTTGATATTTTGCACAGAAAAGGACAGAGCCCTCAAATAGTATAGACCAGGGTTTACAACAAGTCTGGTAGCATAATTTTACCCAAATCCACCATTATTTCATCTTATACAATTTAATAATATATTTGATAATATTATACTGTTTTTATGCCAAATTGGCATTTTAATTTAAAATTATGAGGTTTTTATTTCAAAAATGGCCAACAAAATGCAATCTCCAAGCGAGCAATTTCGTGCAATACATAAGTTATATCCGTTAGTTCCAACTTCCAAACTTGCTTGGAAATCACATTTGACACAAAAACGCTAATTACAATTGTCAATTAAAAAAGACATTTTATATGGAAGGGTATCGCTGCCAATACATGTGCTCTGCTAAAATGTCTTTTACATTGATAAAAGTACAAAGTCCTAATACCAGTAATGATAAAGTCAAAATATACCTAAGGCAGTCAACATGAGTTGTAGCATATTTTTACTTTTGTTGGTAATGAAACATTTATAATAGTAATAATTTAAATAATACACTAAAATCTGATTAAGAGTAACAACTCATTAAGTATCATCAGAAAATCATTAGAATTTGTCTGGCCCATGCTAACGTTTAGTAGAGAATCTCCTACGAGTCTTTTTTTACTTTATCGACGAGTGTTGATATTTTTGGATATCAAAAAAGACGAGTACCGTAGGAGATTTTATTTATCACCCAATCCCTTCTTACATGCACAAATAAAAAATAAATATAATTCTTTGCTATAGATTTCACTTTTACTGAACCTGATTACATTACCGTGTAGAGATACATCATTTTTTGACAGCAATTCAACCATTGCAAAGTCCTTTATATTGACCCAGTCTTTCCATCAAAAGCCAATTAAATAAAAATAGTTCATTTTTAATAAGAAAGAACTAACATTTAATAAAAAATGAACTATTCTTTGAAAACAAAAAAAAAGAACTTACATTTAATAAAAAATGAACTGTTCTTTGAAAATAAAAAAAAGTAGTTCCTTTTTGATTGACCAATCAAATCCATGTAAAGCGATATCTCCTAAGGAGATATCATAGTGATGTCATATTCTTATCTGGAGAGTATGTGCAATAAATACTATTGGTGTAGACTAGAATAACCAGATGCTACAGATTGCCATTCGATTGAGACTTCTGGTGTATTTCGCCAAACATAAGTGATTTGATATTAGAATAAAAACATAACGATTGAATGTAAACAGTTTATATTCATACATGTATATTACATATGCGTTGCAACACATTTTTGTCAATATTTAGGTCCCAAATATTAGCGATTTAGCTTGGAAAGTGCATTTTGAGGGGCATTTATTTAGGAAACGTTAGATTGTAAAATGACAATTTGGCATAAAGAATAGTAATAACAGTATTTATGTTTATCAAATATGAATAAATTATTGTCTTTCTTTCAAGTTTAAATAATGGTGGAGTTGAGTAGATTTTTGGGTAAATCGTGCTCCCCAGTCAAGTCTGACTTGCCTAATTGGTGACAAGACCGTCGCCATATAGGCCTACAACTCATTCTGTTATCGAGGTAATGAAATAAAATGGAGTTTAAAATCCTACTGTTCTGCTCCGAACTGGGCTAATGAAGATGGGCATACACTTTACAGTGTGCTATGAGGGAAATTTTTCTCCGGACAGCGGCACTACGGCCTACTCTTAGTCTTATATTGAATTCCAACTGTCAGGGATCGATCTTTTACCGGCATGCCAATGTGTACCTCAGTTTTTCGTACCATCCGAATGACTAGACAGCTGTCCTTGTCAGGCCCTCCGTCCTGCATCAGGGAATCATGCCGGAAAATCTGGATGAACTTTCTCAGCCAATGCAGGATCGAACACCCAACCTCCAGGCTTGTTATCGAGGTGATTGACTCAGTCAGTCCCCATTTAATAATTTAAATCACATGACATGCCAGCTACCAATTTAAATAGCACAATTTCTAATTTGCTGAGTCAGAGAACGGCAGCCAGTCCAAAGGCAAAACACGTCTAATCAGACTTAGTGCACTTACTTCAACAGTAAGCTTACCTACCATAACAGACTGGTCAAGATCTGCACCCCCATTACCAACTGTTATATCATTAACATTTATTATAGAGTCTGGTTCAATTTCCATGTGAGATTCTTCGCACAATAATGATGCTGAATTCTCACTGACAGTATTACTACAATCACTGACTGGTAATTCAACATTGATGTCAACATAAACACAATAAGATGTTGAGCTGTATTCCGAATCAGTCTGTGACACATCCATTTCTTATGATTTTAGTGGAGTCCTCTCAAACTTTCTTTGTGTCCTGATTATGGCTGATATATTTTTTTTTTATCCTTTATCAACTTTCAAGTAGCTATATCTTAATAATTTCTTGAACAAGACAGTTCAAGACAACTATGTCTATGTTAATGTAGTCAAAGATCTGTGATTTAATCAAACATATAAACATACATATTCGTATTAGTTACACAAGAAGGCAAAGAAAGAAAAAGATAACATTAAAATGTGGCCAAGCCCATGTGTATTATTTGCCTACACACACTGACACTGTTAGTTACATTTCTGCTCTCGGCTAAGTCTAATTCTAATCAAAGACAAAAGTAGGCATTTCTCCAATCGGCAAACTCTCAAACATGAAATCGATTATTTATAAAGCCTTGATAACCCCTAGATGACGAGCCCTAATGTGGGTCTAAAATGATTGGAAGTCAATGCAAAAGTCACCCCTATGCATGTTGAGTGTTGTGGTGAACTCAAATCAACAAAAACAAAGGGCAGGAATTCCAAACAGAGATCTCGATTTGAAATCGAGTCCTAGTCAAAACAACAACAATACCTGTGTGGTTTCGTCCATTTTTTCTCGTGCAGGACATCCAATTTCAAGTAAAAATCATGTGTGAGTACCGTTTACAACCCAATGATTCACACCATTTATTCAAGTTTTGAAATTGGCGGTTGTAAGTCACGCATAGTCTCGCCAACTTCTGAAAAGTTGTCGTGTTGGTTTTCTTGTTATTTGATTGGATGGAATTCTGTAAAAATAGCACAAATCTATCCAATCATTGGAGGATAAATAAAACCTCAGGAAAACCCACGTGCGTTGTTGTTATCAATTTACTTCCGCTATCAGGAAGAACCGAACATCTGATAAACAATATAAAAATGTTATTAGGGTTAAGTGGTATAATATACATCATTAGACGATTGTCGCGGACGTTTAATGATTTATGTATGATAAAATGTATATTACTAACTGCAGTATAATATCATGGAAATTTACTTCAGTATTCCTAATAATATTGTATATTTCATCAAGTGAATCAAATCCAATTTCACATTTTACTGTAGCCAGCGGTGTAAATGGTGGTTCCAATTGTGCAGGTATATATTTTCTTTTTGTTATTTAAATGTACGATTTTTAAAAATTTACACTGACAGGCATTTTTTTCTTCACTGTTTCAGTAAAAAAAACAAGTAAGCTAGATTGGTCGAATTTTTAAAAGTAATATGTCTACCTACCTAGCCCCAAATGAGAACAAATATAATTAAACGAATTAACAGTCAGTCAGGTGAATTAATTGGTTGGTTGCCGGTCAGTCCGCCCACCGAGAGCCGGGCATCGCACTACCAAGTGGGGGCAGCACGCCCCCCCCCCATTCTGAAAATCCTGGATCCGCCCCTTCAAACCCACCATAATTTTATCTCATATAATAATGGAGAGAGAGAGAAATGGGGTTTAACGTCCACTCGACACAAACTAGGTCATTTCGGGACTAACATATGGTTTAATTTTATTTAATTAATTCGCTTGCGCGTAGGGGTCTTTAGCAGTGGGAGGAAACCGGATCATATAATAATAATTTATATCTACATTTATATCTTATGTAATGTTCTGTATGCCAAAATGGCATGGCGTTTTAATTAAAATTGTGATATTTTTGTTTCAAAAATGCCCCTCAAAATGCAATTTCCATGCATGCGATTTCGTACAATACACAAATTATGTCCCTTTTTTACACCTCCCAAACTTGCTTGAAAATCTCATTTTGTGGGTCAATTTTGGCACAAAAATGCTAATTGTCAATTACAAATGACAATTCAGCATTATTAGTCGCCAGTATATTATCAAATATCGATATAAATTACCAGTATTGTCTTTTAAGCAGAAATAATGGTGGATTTGGGTAAATTGTACTACTATTTCAAGGAGCTAATTCTCTATTCTTTGGCATCTAGAAGATATGGAAACAAATGAGTCGCAATGCGTAATAATGTAATATGAATGTATATAAACTGATTTACATTCAATTGTTTCTATTTCTGTTTCTAATCAGTTATATTTGGTGAAAGGGCAGTTAATTTGAAGGATATTCCTTTTTAAAGATTCAAATGACGTTAGGAGACTTTTAGTTAGAATTGATCGATTTATATAATTTTGGGACATGTGTAGGGTATATCTCAACATTTTTAGCTACTTTTTCGTAGCTAGGTATATGCATGAATCCCACAACAAGTTAATCAGTTGAAGTAATGTCATGTAAATGAGGGAAATCATTTGTTATCACCAAGGATATGTGTAAATCTGTTTATTTCACTGCTAAATGTACATGTATAATAAATATATTTTTATTAGATATATACCTATTTTAATAACGTTCCCGTTTTCTTTAGCTCAGTCGATGCAAAACATTAGGATGTTAAACCCATTTCATTTAATTTAATGTCAGTTATTTCTCACTTGGCAAATAAAACATGACTGAAAGAAAACCAGGATTTACTTTATTCGGAAAAATTCTAATTGCTTTAAATTTGCAGTAAATTACATGTAAATTACATGTAAATATTAGATCAAAGAAATCTTTAATATCTATATATATAAAATCAAAGATGTCTGTATGATCGGTGACTAATAGTTAACTTATGATTAGAACAAGGATAGTTTATGTAAATATTTCCTTAAAGATACATTATGGGAGTTTAGATAAAAAGCTGGCAGTTTTCACTATAATAGTTAAAAACTAGATAATGTAAACCGAGAAGTTATATTCGTGACGACGAATTAGGATTAATTTTAAAAGCATAGATATGGCCCATGAAGAGAGAAATTTTACAATAAAAAATTAAGAGTGTTAGATATTGAACTCGCATGCAATCAAATGGATTTTTTGAAATGACATTCTTAAATTAATTTCATGGGCGTAAACATCTTGTTTTAAGAGGAGTTACCTCCCTTAGACATTGTTTATGATAATGTGAAAGACCGGATTATCTAGCCAATTTTTCTCAAATGTTGACAACCTGTCCAGACTAATATTCGTAGAATATTTTTCTGGATGATAGAGACTAAAAAAAAGCTCCCCTCAATCAATGAATTGAAAAAATCGCTCCCCCTCAAAAAAATCTCCCAGTTTTGATAAGAAGAGTGATTTAGAAATTAAGGAGAGTGATCTGATAGTTATGTGCATGGGAAATGGTTCTAAAATCAATAACTGCATGTAAAGGAGTCATTCCTGGTTTCATAAATGATAATAAACTCCCAATGACTATGTAAAGGAGAGCGATTTTCAGTTTAGGGGGGGAGAAAAAAAAACTTCCCTCGGTCGACATTCAGATGAGTGGCAGGTGTTCAAGGGCGATCACTCGCCTTAAAAAACAATGACTCAATATCGCAGATTAGCGTTGACATCGAGAGTTGATTATGTTCTGGATAAGTTGATTAATGTTGAAAGACCTGAAATTAATGTATGTTTAACATAAACTGATATAAAATAAAAGATTCATGATACGATTTATGAGTTCAGTAAGCTACAATACGAAGTTCTGGATTAAAGTAACTTAAGGCAATAATAATACATTGCCATTTCTATCTGTGCATACATTTTCATTGTAATTTGTTGTATTACATGTAGTTCACTCCTCATCATTAAGTACAAACTGTACAAATTTAAAGGAGCAGTCCCAGATTTATTTTATTGAACAGAATTGGTTAGTTCAGTGTTCAAGATTCTCGAACCTTTATTCTAATCAACTGCAACTGTTTGAAGTTCTGCGATACTTTTTCGAAGAAATACAAAGTCTCAAATTCTATGTACATGTTGAGTTGGCAGTTACATGTAGTCTCAAAATTTACCTTACATACATGTATACTAATCATGTCTATATGCTTGCTGAAGTAAAAGATTATCAAGACTATATGAATGAAGTCACCAATACAGATGGGGAATGAAATTCTCTGAATAAGTTACATGTATGTAACTCTTGTGTTTTTTTTCCAAACATCGCAGTATTTTCAGACATTCTAAATAGACTTTATTATCATCACATTTTGGCATTTGATTTACTTACTTAAATCCACATTTATACATGTACAATTTCCTATCAAATCTTGTACAGCTTGTTGAAAGGCCTTCAATTGATTAGAATACACCATGCAACCAGAATTCTGGTGTAATTCTTTCCCATAATATTTTGGTAAAGTTGGTAGGTAACAAACTATTACCTTCGATAAACGTAGTCTGCAAAAAGGGGTAATCTAAGACCCCTTACATAAATAGGTTTTTGTATGCATAATTTTAATTAAATATAGACTGAAGAATAATCAATTAAAGTAGAAAACAAAACAATTTAAGGTGTTAACAAGGAAGATGTGAATTAAAAGGTATTTTTGAAACCATCAAAATCTGCAAATAGCTTAATTGTCATTTCCAATGTAGAATCTTCTTTTTACAGGGCTGGTAGAGTACCTAGATTTGTTTTCAGATGTAGATTACTAGAATGATCAACACATTATCATCAGTAAGATTGATTCCAAATACAAAGATTGCAATGAGTGCAGACTGGATTAGGCACTTGCAACCAGCAAAATCTTTAAAGTAGTGGGGAAGGGGGGTTCACAAGACCCCTCGTTTCCGATAATGTAATACTTTAAGTTTCTTGTCAAATGGTGAATGTTGCTACTGTGTCACTTCTGTTCTATTTGCAGCATTATACCCAACGTTTAGTAGCTGACAATGTATAAAATTCTCGCTAGACAATTATGAACCAGTTCCCCACAAATGTTAAGGATATGGTCGTGGGGTCCCGAAATACCCCTTGTATCTGTACAAGGGTTAAGTGTAATTCTTATTAAATATTTAAAAAAAAGAAAAGTTTACGTTATGTTTATTATACATCTGTTTCTTAGATTGTAAGTTACACACTAGGGTCGGGCGATAATGAAAAAAGAGTAACGTGATAACAATTTATCAAATATCGCGATAAATGGTATTATCATGATAATTTATACGTGTGCCTTAAAAAGTCAAATTTTGAATACTTGGGCGGAAAATCATTGCTTGACGTCAAATTATTGTTGCTAATGTCTGTAGATGCCCTGATGGAGATTTATCCTATACCAGTTGGTACTTTATAATGCTATTTTTACTGATGAATTTAATTCTATCAATAGAATGTCATAGGTGATGATATACACGTAGCATATGTATCATCATCAATATTGGGACACGATAATTATTATATTGCGATAATTTTGATTTTCACAATATACCGGTTTTTCATCATTTTTAACGAAGTCTGATATTATAAAATCGCCAATGGTTTTATCATGATATATAGCCCAATCCTATTACACACCAACAATTATGGTATTTAAATTGCACATCGTAGTGTCAAATAAAATCAGCAATCAAAATTGTATATTTTTAACTCTTGCAGCATTCTTCATATTTTAGGTTAAGGGGTCATTGTTATCTCTGTAATGGCTACTTTATGTCTCTTAACTACAAGTTGTGATAGTTGTAAGTGCATGAGGTGGGATATGCTTACTCTTTGCAGCACACCTGATACTGAATGTCTAATCTTTGGGTTTAATGGGCTGAGAGTCTATATAGAATTCAAATATTGATTATTTTTAAGAAGCAGTTTGTTTCATAGTGAGTAATAAGCTGATACATAAAATCCTTTACTGTACATGGAAAACATAAAGATAATAATATTAATTTGATTGTGTTATCAAAATTTATTTGTAATCTTTAACCCATGATTGATAAAAAAAAATTGACCCTTGATACTCTGTAATTATGTTGAGTTTTAACCATTTATTATCAGATAGAAGGAAAAATGACCTCAAAACTAGAAAAATACCAGATATATCCCTCGAATTATAATTTACAAAGTCAGGAATATTATGTTGTTTTCTTTAAAGCTGCAATGCACCAGGTGGCCAGTAATCATTTTCCCTTTTTACATTTACTAAGGGGGCTTAGTAACTAATCTAAACTATTAACTTAAATGATGCACCAGATGGCCAATACCTGGTAATCATTTTCCTTATTTACATTTAGTATCTAATCTAAACAATTAAATTAGAAAATTCATGTTAGTTGCCATCTTGAACTTGTGCATTTTAGATAAAATGAACTGTCTTTTGGGAGTTCGCTAATGATTTTATAGATAAAGAAGATGACTATAGAAAATTTATAGAAAGATGGCTATAACTTGGTTAAGATTGATCAATTTCATTAATTTTTGAACCAGTTTCAAACTACAAAATTTGCCTTTTTTAATTTGGAATATTGTGCATATGACCATATAATGAAATTATCCATCGTGCTGGTCCATGTAGTTCAGGTGTATGAAGAACAAACACATTTAAATCGATACTGTTTCATACATGTGTGACATGTACCAACATTGTTCCAGCCTGTTAAATGAAATGTGTACGCCAATGTGTTCACACAGGGCCTCAGTTTTTTCCTCCCAACCAAACAACTATACATTGTCTCTTGGCAGGCCCTCCGTCATACTCCGCTGACAAGGAGGAACCACGCAGAAAATCCTAATGAACTTTCTCGACCAACACCAGCATCGAACATGGGATCTTCAGCTAGGTTAGCAATCCGATGTCTTACTTGTAGAGTTTCCGCAGCGAAGAAAAAATTGTCTCCGAAACAGTTAGGAAAAGTAAAGTGTAGCATTTACATAGGAGCAGCATAAATCGATGAAGTTTTCATTCATCACATCTTCATAAATACCTAACAGAATTGAAGCATTTTTGGACTGATATTCCTTTTACAATAGTGTAGTTTGCAAGGGTTTCCTACATGCAAAATCACATTAAAGATAATTTCCATAAATAAAACTTTAATCCAAGGGTCTTTGACTAGCTCAGACATTTTACAGGGTTTGTATTTACATCTGAGAATTTGATAGATCTTGTTATTTTGCAGGTTGTACAGTGGTAGTATCTCTAATAGAACAGTTAGGTGAAATACATAATGAAACAGTTGTAAAGGCATTAGACAGACTCTGCTCTTATTTACCACCAAAGATAAAAGGACCATGTCAGGTTTTCGCTCAATTTATTGGTCCAATTTTAGTCGAATTGTAAGTATGTTCTTTTGGAACCATTCACTTCTCCTTTTACAAAATTTTAAAGGTATTTATATGCTCTGTCTTTGGTGAAAGTGTTACATCTATAGATAAAACCAGTATTAGTGTTGAGATATACATATGTAACTGATCTTGTAATAAGCCAAAATATAAACAAAAGCAAGGGGACTATGGCTATAAGTTTTAGAAACAAGAATCTAATTGTATACCAATCTGATTAAAACACAGATCCTATTTCGTTTCATTTTTTATAGTTCAAAATTTTGTTTTACTTGTCTTTACTAGACTAGGATCTAGACCAGGATGTGAGGGATTAGCCAATGAAATGATCTGTTGCTGCGATTTCTTGGTGTGCAATGCATGAAACTCTGGTTATCCTACTAGAATCATCAACGCTAATTGGTTAATCAAATGTCGGATGTCATAGAGTCATTAAGATGTATTATAACTTTGAGCCACAAAATACTAAACCTAAGGCTACTCAGAAAACCTTTATAATGTAAAGTGTAGATGATATACTATACATTTAATAAACTGTAATTAACATTTCTGTTTTAGAGTAACTCAAGATGCAAATCCAGACACAGTTTGTCAGACTTTAAGATTCTGTAATACCAATGGTGGTCCAGAATGTCTTTTGTATAAAAAGGATGAGGTAAAAACCAAACCAGTATAGTTTTGTAAAATGATGAGTTTCTTAATTTTGACATCCAACTTGTCAATAAGAATTAGTACCAGTTACATCCATTTAAAACTTCATTAAACATACATTATGCAAGAGCCAAATCTGCCTATTGCAGATCTTTCTTTAGGCCTGAAATGTTATCTAAATTATTAATTAGACCAGTGGTTCTCAACCTTTTTTTTGCCAACGTCACACCTTGGAACACATGAAAAAATAGCAGCACACCTGGCTAAATATATATGTGACCCCCCATGGCACAATGATCAAATTTTGAAAATTGAGTTATTGTTATTTTCACATTCTCCGACTCATTACCTTCAATTTGATGTATAGTTTGTTTGAATCGGGCAAAAATTGACTGATTTGTGACTGCTTAAAGCCATCCAACTCACCAAAGTAAGTTTTGAGAAAAATCAAGTTAAAGATTTGGTATGTTTCAAAATAAAATCCCATAGCAACCAAGCCATTTATTTGCTGTTTTGTCGTTGAATATTGTTTTGTAGAGGTTTTCAGGGGTGCTGAAGACGAAAATTGTAGTAAAAATATGATCCGACAATTTCCGCCATCTTTTTTTTCAAAATTGACGCCAAAATGACAGATTTTCGAGTTTTCATAAGTTATGTGTTTATTAATGTAATTGAATGGGTTTTGGGGGGTGCTACATCAAAAAATTGCAGTATAAGAGTAAATCTGATAATACCCGCCATTTTGTTTTTCATAATGGCGACCGAAATGAAAATCGTAGTAGTAAAATTAATCCGACAATATCAACCATTTTGTTTTAACAAAATGGCTACCAAAATAACAATTCTGGTTTTTTTTTATCACCATATATTTATAACCGGCTGGTGCAATGTCATTTTATATGTTTTATTAGGTACAAAGGTTGTAGCATCAGGGGTCGACTGGCCTGTATCCTCCATCTTGTTTTTTCAAAATGGCCACCAAAATGGCAATTATTGGGGTTCTTATACTTGGTACTCGTGTAATATATCATTTTATAGATTTTCGGGGGTGCCGAATACGAAAAACATGGTTTTGGGTCGATGCAACAAATATTTATCATTTTACATATTCGATGACCATAATAATAATATTATCAATTAACACACACCTTGCAGGGTAGGGTATACCAATGAAACAACGGTATTCAACACCTTATGCTGTCAAGTATAAGAAAAGAGAGTACTCTCAACACCTGCCTTTTCCATTCTAGAACTTCTCAATATAAACAACCATAATAATAACAATAATAATACCGACAAACACAAAATCTATAACAACAGATAATTAGAACTTGGCAGTAAAAACAGTAGGTCATTCAGTTGAGCAGATTATAATAATAATTAAAAGAGAAAGTACTAATGATCAAAGATCCCTTATTAATATGGTTTGACTATTGTATACAGCTTAATTAATTGGGTACTGATTGATCTACTGTTTTGACTGCCAAGTTCTAATTAAAAGAGATGGTACTAGGCCTTATGATCAAAGATACGGTATTAACATGGTTTGACTATACACCTTAATTGAAACTAGTTCCATTGTATATACTATGGAGTTTTCGTATGGCACGGTTACGATGCCGGTGTATAGCTAGCTGTAAACAAACGCTATTTACAGTGGATATAATTGCATTACGAGAATTTAATTTATTAATTCATCGGGCATGGGTGACTGTTTAACGTTCGAGAATGGAAAAGGGCGAGCTCTCAATTGCAAATGAATTGAATGCACTGACATCTGCTGTTTTTAGAAAAAGCAAGTTAAAGGTGTCTGTATGTTCTAAAACAATATCACACAGCAACCATGCCATTAAATCTTTCGTTATTTTGTTATTTAATATTAATATTTTCTTCTTTAGGTTTTCAAGGGTGCCGAAGACGAAAATCGTTGTAAATGCGCTCTTTTCATAGCAAAACATCCACAACAAATGTGGCATATTTACATTTCCAATGATAGCGTTATAATTTAGAACAGTGTATACATTAGTAGTCTAAGTTTGTATATTATAACTTAATCAGTTAATCTCATCAATTATTTAGCACCTTGGTGCCAGTGGTCAGAAGATTAAGGTTGTTGATTGGGTAATCAAGTTTAGTAGCCTATCTTAATCATCAAAGAAGCCGCCACAGCTGCATGCCTGAATTAAGATTTTGCGTGTACAATAAGTCTATTGTTATTTTAAGCCTCAGGTACCGTAACGGTATCAAAATATGAGTCCATAATAGAATAGAAATTTCAATTTCATTGGCATGAAATGCTTACGTTCATTTTGGAAGCGGTGTAATTAAACAATGGCAGATTGTTTTTCCCACTCGATAATCGTCGCGTTTCGACTCATTGGTCGTTCTCATTTTCCCGACCCATGATGATAATAGAATTTTAAACAATAATGATATCCAATATACATTCTTAACTTTGCATGCCGTATGAAAGACAGTAAACGGAATTCACCTATCAATAAAATTTATTTCGGAAAGAAAATTATGGGCTATTTTGTTTTTTTCCTTTTAAGGACTATAAATTATTTTCTAACAGACCAAACGAGACATTAAATCATCGCCGCTTTGATTAGTTATTCGGAGTACATAAAGAATTGTCGGCGGCCTTATCATTGTTAATTATCAATCAACTAATCATTAATCCGTGAGAAGTGATTACGGATTAGTATTACTCAATGACACGAACAGCTTGTTGATTGATTGATAACACTCAACGGCTATCTATATACGATCAGATTCAGGATTAAGTTGTTGGTATCCGAGGATCTTTTTATTTTGTGGTTTTAACAATTTTCAAGTGTAAATAATTTAATGAAATCAACCTGTCCATAATATCATATTCATTGTATTGGACGTTAAATCTTTAATAAACAACAACAACAGTTGTTTTCTGCCACTTCTCAGAGTGAATCGCATTAGATACCTCATAACATTGCCCAAATCTAATTTCTATCGTCTGCTTGAGCCTCGATGCGGCCACGGAACCACAATGCTTTGCACTCTTTGTCTGGGCCAATCAGCAAACGAGTCGTGTTGGAAGCATAGCAACAAGCGGAGTGTGTTTACATTTTTAGGGGTTTTAAAACCCTTTTGTATTCCTTCAAAATGAATTCATCGGCAATATTTTGGTCATATTTATAAACTAGAGATTCTCCGCTTAACAACGATGGCAAGCATTTTGCAAGAGGATTAACAGGTCGCCCCGCTGCGAGCAGAGAAAAATATCTAATTCCACTGAAAATATTCAGAAAAATACATATTTAAGAATACGATACTCTTACAAAACGTCCAAATAAAGGCGTTTTAAAATGTTTTATTGCTATTTTGATCTTTTGAGTCGATAGATAGTATATTTATTGACTAATTTTTGTGAAAATCTCAATTTCGATCAAAATCAATATTTTCGCTTATTTTGTCTCGTGTGCAAAATTAATTTTCCCGCATTTCGACTCATTTAGATGCGGCGGGTCACATTAATGAAAAATATTCGAATTTGGCAAAATAAAAACATGGTAAGTCAAACGGAATACCACCGTAGACAGAGACTAGTCATAGACACATGGAATGACTCAAACTAAATAAAGAAAAACACAGTTATGAAGTTGTCAGTAGACACCAGTGAATACTCAATTGGGATCACATGGTTTTTCACATTTTCTTAGTGTGCCGTTCAAAATCTCGCAACACACTTAGGAAGATCTTGTGGCACACTGGTTGAGAATCACTGAAATAGACATTAATTAACTTATCCAGACCATATTCAACTCTTGATGCCATCGCTATTGCAGATCTTTCTTTAGGCCTAAAATGTTATCTAAATTATTAATTAGACATTAATTAACTTATGTAGACCATATTCAACACTCGATGCCATCACTAACCTGCGATATTTAACGGATTGGAATACATTCTTTGAAAAATAATTAAATCGATAAATACAATTAAAACTTTGTTTTTTATCGTACCGACTTTAGTAATGATGATTGAGGCTAGCCTAAAATTCAAAAGCTAACTCAGTTCAGAGTGAAGCAATTTGATTGAAATTTTCAGCATATTCTATTTACTTTAACTATTATAGCGCGAACAGTTAACTCTTTATCTAATCTCCCATAATGCCCCTTTAATTTACATTAGTTTATATTGATTTCACATAATTATAAGTTTGCATATAACAATAATGATAATCATTTACATCCAAGCCATTCCATTCTTAAGCAGGTGTGAGCCACAGTGGCTCAGTTAGTAGGATGTTGGCTCGCTAATAACCTGGAGGTCCTTTGTGTTCAATCCCTGTGTTAGTTGAGAAAGTTTGTCGGGATTGTCCGTTGTGGTTCCCTGTTGTTAGTGGTGCAGAACAGAGGACCTGGCAAGGGACAACGTATAGTCATTCGGATGGGGCAAAAAAATGAGGTCCCATGTACACATTGGCATGCACCTGAAAGATCCCTTGACATTTACAGAGTGCCGCTGTCTTGTCAAAATTTGTCTCATAGCACACTGTATGGCATTAAACCCCATTTCATTTCTTGAGCAGGTTTCTTAGTGTGTAACAGTTTTTCATCAAAAATAAACAACTAAGCACACTTAAGTCTAATCTGAACAGTCAAATGCCACTCCATAGCACACCTAGGCGTCAAAAATCTGTTCCTTGTAGTTGAGATCAACAGACTGGTACTTGAATGATATTTATGAATTATGAACCATTTGGAATTATATATACTATAAGGGGTTTTAATATTACTTTAGCATTCTGTAGTATCTCAGAAAAATTAACATCTGACATTGTAATAGAACATACATTATTGTTGAAGAGCACATGTTGAGGATTTCTGCCCAAAAATATTCTTTTAGAATATAGTTTGCAAAATTTTGGCGTGGTCCTCACATTCATAGACTAAGATTTGGATTGTCTTATAAGTAATAGAAAAACACTGTATAGAATTTGTCTTGTTATATAAATAAAACACCAGTGTGACTCTAGTAAGGTTATTTTGGACATGATATAAAATTAATGATTAATAATAATTATTACACATTTCATGTCACCATTTATTATTTCATTTTGTGGTCTGTAGTTTCAGGTAAATGACATGAAGCAAAAACCTAAGAACTTAAATCTTATGATGAAACATTCATACTTTGTAAGTTAGTGCTATTCTATTTTCTGACTAATGTCAAATGATGTAATATCTTATAACTAAAGTAATAGTTGGGCTGCATGCAAGCAAAAATAGAAATTTAAGCAGATGTTAATTCTATTTATTTTCTGAGAGAGACAGAGAGAGAGAGAGAAAGAAAGAGAGACTAAAGGTCACATTTTTGATCCGATTTTGATTATTATTGACATGTATCATTGACATGTATTGGACCATAACTTCATGGATTATGGTCCCTCATCACGTTTTTAGCTTGTGTACACTCTAGAGGCCACAGTTTTTAGCCAATTTGGATGAAACTTTTGATATGTTTTTATCATAAAGATCTTGGTTCCTTTTGATAACCATACATATCCGAACGTAACTTCCTGGATTATGGCCCCTGATTGGTTGAAAAATCACATTTTTAGCTTGTGGATTCTCTAGAGGTCACATTTTTTTTTCCGATTTTAAAAAACGTTTAGATATACTCTTCCAAAAAAGTAGGGGATATTGAAATGCAAATACCTATGCAGCTTGTGATATGATAAACAGCCATGAACACTTGACATGCTTTAAGAGTATGTTCACAGATGAAGAACTTATAGCCCCAACAGAACCACTGAGCTGCACATGCGACCCGCATTAGCGCCATACACGTGGGAGGGGTTCATTGTCAAATTTGACACTTCAAGGAAGGGTTGATGAAAACTGCCAGATGCTGGTTTATCCTATCCATGTTTGCTTTCTTTCCTTTCGGTTCTTGCATAAGATTTACTGTTTAGCGTATCTTTGCTGTAGTGTGCTCTGTTTAATTTGATTGGGGGGATCACGTGGCTAAGTGGGTAAGACGCTGGCTCGCTAGCCTGGAGGTTGGGTGTTCGATCCCTGCATTGGCCGAGAAAGTTCATTCAGATTTTCCAGCGTGGTTCTCCCTTGTCAGTGATGCAGGACGGAGGGGAAACGAAACCATGCCAGTTGACTCAATGACAGACCTCATGATACAGTACGCACGTGCTAACCATTTGGCCATCCAACCCCTCAATGAAGATGATACAATCATTTTATTTGTATTCCAGTTATCAGCTGATCCTAAAATTTGTGAAATACCAGGAATAAAAGATATATGTAAATTGTTGGATGAGTAAGTAGATATAGTATTACATACTATAGTTTGATCATATTTAATTTCTTTACTTTGGCAACATAACAACATACAGTACATGTACATGGATTCTTCTGAAAATAATCCACTGGTATTGACTGAATTGAAAGATGTTTCAATTTTAATGTCAGAGAACTGAGCTTCATTACTTGTTTTTGTTGAAATAAACATGGGTATAGTTTAATGATATATAACAAATAACAATAAAATCATTTTTGTTCTCGAACTGTGATACAGTTATTATTTTGGCATATAAGACATACAGTAATTTTTCTATCCTATCTTTACAGTGCATTTAGATATCATGACCCTTCTGTAGATATTGATGGTGATAAATATAGTACAGCTGAGGTAAAAACATTGAAAATCTTTCTTGCTTTTATCAATTAAGCATTGTGTATTCCGTTGTCAAGGTAGTCGGTTAGGGAACTCCACTGGAATCAGAGTTAATGATGGTATGGGGGACTGACAAGGATGATATCTAGTCATAAAAACATCCCTTAAGAGTTAGAATATGAAGCAGAGATGACATTAAGACTTCCCCTCCGTTAAATTTATTAACATATAAATAGAAAACAATTGTGAAAGTTATTTCTATGTTATACAACATTTCTGATTTAAAATAAGAAATGAAATCTTGGACAATTCTTGGATGGTTAGGCATTGATGTCAGATTGCCTGAGATCTGATCAAATGACACAAACTTGATAATAGCTTTTTGTTTTGATATCAGACATTTAGAGGAACATCATGGAGAGGTAGAGATTGTAATGATGATGATAAATATACACATCCTGGGTCTAGGTAAATATTATTTTTCTTTTGGTATAGCAGTTAGTATTGGAAGGAATTGTTTAACAAATTTTGTTGAAATTGTTGTTATATTTGATAGTTTCTGTATTTCTTATAACTAGACCCTGGTTTGAATTCTTACGAGATCATATGTTAAAATCATACTTTAATTTGTCTTTTAGACCTATAGATTATGATGCCACAGATGATTCTAACTGTAATGGAATTTATGTAAGTTTACATGATTATATAATAATGGCCCTACATAAGATCTTTCTCTAAGATCTATGTAATTGATCATATTTCAGTTGGAGGGGGGGGGTATACAATTAATTCAATCAAACACAACCAAACATAACGTGTGTTAACTCTTTCACACACATTCTGTAAATGAAATGATTGACAATAACATTAGGAATTGGTCAATCATTAGGAATGTTGGTTAATTAGTTTGTAATAAGTAACATTATATGAATGTTTTTGTTAATGGTGTTTTTTATTAAAAAGTAACTTAAGATGAAAAAAAACCCAAGGCAGCTCTACTTGCGCTCACGATAATGATATAACCAAATTGACGAGAAGACATATATTCTGTTTAACTTACTTCTTAAAGCCCTGCATTATGTATTATTCGGAGGTTATATATTCTGTTTATTTAAAGGGATCTGATCCTGCTACCACAAAACCATATGAAGAAGAATTTTGTGCCAATTCGCAGGCCAGAGGAATTGCTGTATTAGGGGATTCCCTAAGTGCTCATTTTCATTTACCTGAAGAATGGTTCGATGCAACTAAACTTTCTGAAGTAATTGAATATAATTATACATTTAATAGTAAAAATATTACAACTCCATGGCAGTCATTGTTGTAATTATATTAAAAGTTAGTTTAGTTTAACCCTTTCACTGCGTATACCCAGTAGTACCGGGTATTATAAAATGTCGGTAAATGCGCGTACCCGGTATTACCGTGTACTCAGTAAAGCCCTCGCTAAGATTAGTACCGTAACTGCAAGTGCCATCTATTGTATTTTCTATACACTAGAACATATTTCCACGTGTTTCAAAGCGGCAAACCGTAAAATGGCGGAGTGCATAGTGACAACATAGACGATGCACTCTCGAGGAAGTCGTGAATGACGTCTTGCTGACCAACACGTGGACAATTTCGAGGCGGGTGATACACATAATTCGTTTCCAGTTACTTGATAATGATAGTAGTCAGGACAGTGATTGGTATTATGAAGTGTGTGATTTTTTGCGCGACGTTCCGCCCATGGCTAGCTATGTGTCCCGTGCATGATGAACAAGCCCAATGTGAACACGATAGCCCTGTGTCTGCAGTAGATTCTGACAATAATTCTGATGTTGATAATAATGCTGGCCTGCTGGATCGTAAAAGACGTAGGCAATTCCTGAGTCCCGAACGTGTAGATCTATTGACTGACTATATTGATAATGATATGGGACTTGGGAGTGAAAGTGAAAGTAAAAACAAGGTATTGCAATCCGCACGTGGTCATGGCAGCGGGAGACGTGATGCGCGTGTTCGTGGCGGCATTGCTCATGGCTGCTATTGATATTTTTGTTCATTTTATATATCTTTATCAAAATCCAGTGAAAAAAACAATATCTTTTAAGTATTTCATGGAGAAAAATTTGTTTTCGTGTTAGCTTTAGTGAGAAATGAGAAATCCAAAATGGCCGTCATGACGTCACGTGACTACATTATTATGCAAATTTCCAAAATTCCATTTTTTCCTCTTAGCCAAACCTCATGCCCATCCCAACAGACAAAAAGATTTTTCATAAAAGCTTCCATAAGTACTGCTTGGCATTCAGTTCCAACCTCCCTTTTTTCCTCAAAAAAGGGTCTAGCACAGGCAGTGGATTTACGTCTAGCATTGGAAGTGTTAAGTTTAAATTGACTAGCGTTTGGAGTTATCTCCCCTTAGTCTTCAGATTTTTTTCAGCAAAAGTCTATAATTATTGTTTAATTAGTTTTAATTAGTTCATGAGCTGTTCGTTATATCAGACAATACATTCATCATATTACCTTCTAGCATGATTAGTTAATGTCATTATTAGATATTATAAAATGGTAATTTGCTAAATTCTTAGGATTATCCCCCTTTAGTCTTCAAGCATTAATAGAATTGAGTGGGGTTTTGCACCATACTGTGTGATCTCTAATTTCTTAGGATTGTTCAAGCATTTTAAAATGTATTATAATATGTTTTACTCATTGTTTTTTTTAAGGCTGTATTAAAAGATGCATTGTTTATAATAGAAAATGAAATAGATTGGCCAGAACTGTCAACAGTTACAGGTAAAATGATTTCTTGGATATACACATACTAACATGAAATCTGAAGTCTTTTTGATTATTGAGGCAAAATATATACAAAAGTATAACAAAATGTGTGTATTGCTCCAATGAGTATACCCTTCCTTATATACTACTATAGATGGTCAATTATTTCTGTAATTCTTGTCCCATTAATCTCAACCTTCATTCTGTATAGGGCATGTAAATAATTCCTGGCCAGAGGTTGTTCATGGTAGTATGGATTCTATATATCAACGTTTGTTTGAACGTAATCATTGTAATCATGGAGATTATCAAAATATAGCTGTAAATGGTAAGTCTGTTAAAATAGAAATTTAAACAGTGTATACACAAAAATGTTTATGTCGATTTACTGTGAATTGTAATATATGTTTACATTCTCCTTTTAAATGAAATTTTGAACTTTCCAATTATCATCCAGACTCGCAACCATATTTTTTATTTAAAAGTTTAACTGGCAGTAATTACGCAAAAATATAAACATAGATTGTGCAGTGACAAGTAATTTGATATTTTGGGATGAAGTAAATTAATAAGCTGGATTTATGGGTCTATCTGTTACCAGGAAGGAGGGAGGCTTAAAATGATTTCTCTGAAGATTTAATTGTGAATATTTAGATATAAAAGACCAGCTAACTTGTGAAAGTAAACACTGATTATGGTCCATTACAGCTGTTTGTTGTTTGAAAAAGTGAATTGACAAAACTTTTTAGTAATTATTTATTATTTAGAACTTCAAGTATTAATTTATTGTACTATAGAGTTTATACTTATTCAAATAACATTCTCCATTGATTCCTGATAGCTTTACCTGCTTAACCTGCTGCTTATAACACCTACCTACATAAAGGTAACACTCTCTTTCTTTACATGCTATGTAAATGTACAATAAAAAACAGTAATTATTCTGTAGAGCTAAAAGCAAAATACACTTGTGAAAGCTGTAACAAAGATATTATCACTTTTTCTCTGCCTGTGCTGCTTTAAAACCATATTAATCAAAATGCAATAATTTATTTAGAAAAGAAAAAAAAAAATTATGCTTTGGATTCATCGTAATTTTTATACGCCCACATTTTCATGTGTACGTATATTGTCGTCGCCCCTGTCCGTCCGTCCGTTCGTCCGTCCACAATTGTTTGTGAACAGCCTACAGGTCACAATTTTTATCCGATTTCAATGAAACTTGAAATATAGGTCTATCACCCTAAGATCTTGGTTCCTTACGCTATTGGCATGTATCGGACTGTAACTTCATGGATTATGGACCCTGATTGTATGAAAAATCATGTTTTTAGCCTGTGAACACTGTAGAGGCTACAATTTTTATCCGATTTGGTTCAAACTTGAAATGTATGCTTATAACCCAAAGATCTTGGTTCCTTTCGATATTTGCGCATATCGGAACGTAACTTCCTGAATTATGGCCCCTGATTGATTTTTTATGCGCCCACATTTTCATGTGGATGTATTATTTTCTTCGCCCCTGTCCATCCGTCCGTCCACAATTTGTTTGTGGACACTCTACAGGTCACCATTTTTATCTGATTTTGACGAAACTTGAAATATGTCTATCTCCCAAACATCTCGGTTCCTTTGGATATTGGTATGTATCGGACCATAACTTCATGGATTATGGCCCCTAATTCTACGAAAAATCACGATTTTAGCTTGTGGACACTCTAAATTTCACAATTTTGATTCGATTTTGATGAAACTTGGAATGCATGTTTATATCCCAAAGATATTGGTTCCTGTCAATATTCGCACATATCGGATTGTAACTTCCTGAATTATGACCCCTGATTGTACGAAAAATCTCGCTTTTAGCTTGTGGTCCCTCTAGACGTCACAATTTTTATCCAATTTAAAAAAACAAAACATTTTAGCATATCACCGTTGCACCCTTATGATGCTGGAGTTTGGATTTATGAAAATCGGACCAAAACTGCCGGACAAAATGGCCGCCTTTGTATGCAAATAGTGTGAACATCTGGTATATCAAGGTTGTGGACTTCCTAGAGGTTACAATTTTGAACCGATTTTGATGAAACTTGAAATGTATGTTAATAGCCCAAAGATCTTGGTTCCTTTCGATATTCACTCATATCGGATCATAACTTTCTGAATTATGGCCCTTGATTGTACGAAAAATCGCATTTGGAGCTTGTGGTCCCTGTAGAGGTCACAATTTTTATCCGATTTAAAAAAAAAAACGTGTGAATATATCACAATTATACACTAATGATGGTTGAGTTCAAATTTCAAGAAAATCGGACAAAAATTGACGGACATAATGGTCGCCCCATGTGCGCAAATAGTGTAAAAATATGGTATATCAGGGTTGTGGACCTTCTAGAGGCCACAGTTTTTATCCGATTTGGATGAAACATTAAATATATGTTTTTATCATAAAGATCTTGGTTCCTTTTGATAATCACACATATCCAAACGTATCTTCCTGGATTATGGCCCCTGATTGGTCGAAAAATCGCATTTTTAGTTTGTGGGTTCTCTAGAGGTCACAAAATTTTTTCCGATTTTAAAAAACGTTTAGATATATCACCATTCCCACATAATGAAGGTTGAATTGGAATTTCGTGAAAATCGAAATGAAACTGCCTGACAAAATGGCCGCTTTTTGTATGCAAATTGTGTATAAGTATGTAATTCAAAGGTTATGGACCCTCTAGAGGTCACAATTTGTATCCAATATCTTTATATTCCAAAAATCTCAGTCCCTTTTGATTTAAATCTGATCCTAGATCATCCTCGGTATCTCCAGTGGTTTCATTCCGTTCTACTCCACTAACCCCTGGGTTAATCTATGGGGGAGACACGTTTTCAAATTATTCGCTATTTTTATCGACCAATCCCATGCATCGTTAATTGAAATGGAAGTTACTCTCATCAGACAAGTTATTCTAAATGCGTACTTACTAAGAACAAATTATATAATATGAAATTAATGAAAACTGGACCAAATTGCCAAGTATAAGTTCAATAATAATAAACATAACAGAATGAAACATTTCAGATAAAGAACGAATTGTAATAGTAATAACAAAAGTCAAACATATAGATGTTATACATATTTGAATTCAGCGAAACATACTACATATTTTGATAATACAATTAATTATAAATGAATTAGAAATATATACATTATTTACATAAATCATTCAGTAAATGGACATGAATTTGGTTAATTACCCTTATAAAATCGAAGGCGAAATGACTGGTTTGTAAACTGTTTCTTGATTGGTTCGTAGACCTTATCTACAATCAAGGCCAGGGCAGATAATTTAAAATGGTGGAAACCCTATGGATTAACCCAGGGTATAGTGGAGTAGAACGGAATGAAAGCACTGGGGATACCGAGGATGATCCTAGATGCATCAGATACTAATATTATTAAAGCATTAGGAGAAGGTTAACGTTAAGTATAGAATTTTAGCTGATATATCAATATCGAGCAAAATAATTTGATTATTGGGGCTTGCATGTTATATCTTGCATGTCATATAATGCAACTTTAGCGCTATTAGTAGATATTTGGATTGCTTAAAGTACATGTATATTACTAATATATAATAACAGTCAGTTATACCTATATATTAAAGGTGCTGATACAGGTGAAATGGTTACTAACATAATGTACAGGTAAACATTTCCTACAGGACCAATTTCTTTAATGTATTGATTTGATTAATACTGATACTTTATTCCATTTAGGAGCTTAACAATAACTGTTTCGAATTTAGCGGTGGGTTATTATCCATTTAAATATGCTTACATATACTTCTCAGGTTTACATCTGTTCACAGGGAAGTACTCCAATGCTGTCAATTTTTAAAGATTGTTAAATGTTCAAATCTGTTTCATTATTAATGTGTTCAACATATCCTTTATTGAAATAAGATATCAGCATTAATTAAATTGACAGATAAATTAGGGAAATTGTCTGTAAAATAGACAGTTATATTTATATTTGTAGGAGCCAGATCGAGTACTATGTCAACTAATATTATGTACAGGTAACAACACAATGTTATTTAGTAAAATCTCTTTAATCTGCAGAATAAAGTCTCTCTTACTTCTAGTGTTTCATTCGTATAATTAAGCTTAAAAGGGGCATCATTAATTACACAAGAGTCTGTGTTTCAAGAAATATATTTATACAATGAGTTCTTTGTAATTGAAATCTTTGCTGCAAGACTCTCTGTTGATGACAGCACACAACTATTATTTTCAACTGTAAAGTGTCCAGCAGACCTTTTTGTCAGAAAAGTACAAGTTTTTTTCTAGAGATAAATCAAATTATATTATTATCAAAATGTTAAATTAGTGTTTTAGAAAATCATTTGTACAAAAACATCATGACAATATGATTTTCTCATATATTCCTGTAAAAGTATGTCTAGCCATTCAAAGAACATATTGCGATCTGTACATATCGGACTAAACATCCAGGTCAGAAATAAGGTGAAAATGTTAGTCATTTATAGTTTTACATACTGAAAAAAAATATCTTGTTGAATTTCACAAAGATCATGCAGTAGATAATCAACAATAATGTTAACAGATATATGGAAAAAAACTATGACATTTTCACTCTTAATAGTACTGTTGTTGGAAAGACCAATCGGAAACATTTTGACACGATTGGCTGTTAACTAAATGTCGCATGCTCCTAATCAACCCTCCAATCACGATTTGGGGCAATCTGACCCACTCCTCTTGCAGTGCCACGGTCAGTTCTTGCAGTGTTTTAGGTTGACGTTGACGTCGACGAACACTTCTCCCGATCAAATTAAACATAACACACTAAAGCAAAGATACACTAAATAGTAAATCTTATGCAAGAACCGATAGGAAAGCAAACACGGATAGCATAAACCAGCAAGCGGCTGTTTTCATCAACCCTTCCTTGAAGTGTCAAATTTGGCAATGACCCCCTCCCACATGTATGGCGCTATTGTGTGTCACATGTGCAGCTCAGTAGTTCTGTTGGGGCGATAAATTCTTCATCTGTGAACATACTCTCAAAGCATGTCAAGTGTCCATGACTATTTATCATATGACAATCTGCTTAGGTATTTGCATTTCAATATCTCCTACTTCTTTTGAAGAGTATATATTATAACTTTGTATATTTACAGTTTATCCAGAAATCAAACATTAGATATACCAATATTAGTAACTTACGCTCTTGTTGGTAATGATGTATGTAATGGGTAAGTGGATTTAGAATCTACAGGTCATTTACAAAATTGTATTTGAATATAAATTTCTACTTCCTGTCATTGGTAGTTTGCCTTAGTGAGTGTCAAGTTTTGTTCTCATGTTAATAAACAGTGGAGACAATACAAAATTATGTACCTTTAGTCTCCAAAGAAACACAACTGTGAAAAGTATCATTTTTATACGCCCACATTGAAATGTGGTTGTATATTGTTGTCGCCCCCATCCATCCGTCCGGCGGTCAGCATCCACAATTGCTTTGTGGACGCTCTATAGGCTAAAGTTAATATCCGATTGACTTTGAATTGATACACAGTGTTTAAGGTCATGAGAGGATGAATCCTATTGGTTTTCAGCGATTTCCAATAATTTTTGCCAGAGTTATGGCCCTTGATCACTTTGAAAAATCTTGTGGACACTCTAGAGGCTAAAGTTAGTATCCGATTGACTTTAAATTTATACACAGTGTTTAAGGTCATGAGACGAAGAAGCTTATTGATTTTCAGCGATTTGTGATAATTACTGCCAGAGTTATGGCCCTTGATCACTTTGAAAAATCTTGTGGACGCTCTAGGTACTAAAGTTAATATCCGATTGACTTTAAATTTATACACAGTGTTTAAGGTCTTGAGATGAACAAGTATATTGATTTTCAATGAATCTTTGACTTGAACAGCTAAATCCATGATGTTAAAAGTTTCGTATACTAAACGTTAGCATGGGGCAGAACTTTATAAAAACCAAACAAATTCTAATGGTTTTCTGATAATTACTTAATGAGTTGTTACTCTTAATCAGATTTTAATGTATTATAAATGTTTCATTACCAAAAAAAGTAAAAATATGCGACAACTCTTGTTGACTGCCCGGTCGATATAGATGCTGTGGGCGTATGTTTCGTTGCCTGGCAACCTATCTTTATTAATTACAGGCATCCAGATACGTTTGCTCACATGACAACAGTAGAAGACATGAAAGCGAATTCTCTTAAAACTCTACAGTATTTAGTAAGTAGACAAAATATATTCTGGTATTAGTCAATAAAATTTGTTCAAATATTGGATCATTGCCATCAGTTTAATAAATATTTTCCCAGATTTCTATTTCACTTATTAAGAAGAATATTGAAATTATTTAAAACAGTTTCTAGAAGTATATGAATTTCTAGTGTAATCTATTAATAGTCCTTTAAATCCAGATTGAAAACATACCTATTTGAGAAATATTTGCAAGGGTGATTGTGTGTTTTGTAGCACTATGAGCATGACTATGTGGAATTGGCACAACATAAATAAACTTATTATTATTTATTAATAGCATTCCATCAAATAGAAATAGACTATAGTACATTATATACGGTAGTACAACCACATTCTATATGACCTACTTTCAAACATTGATCTTCTGTACAAGCAAAACCAAACAAAATGTTCCAGTGTTTTCACATTTTACCCTAAATAAAAACAGAAATCTTGTGATCTTGCACACATCGTGTTGCATTGCTGTAATATTGTTGACTGCTTTGGGGGTGCTAAATGACGGAATGGTGTGCGTGCATGTGCTGAATCATAAGGTCTCTCATTGAGTCAACTGGCATGGTTTCGATTCCCTGGTTGTGCATGACAAGAAGTAGGATTGTCTGTACATCCTTGTGGGTTTTCTCCAGGTACTCCGGTTAACCCCCACTGCTAAAAAACCCTACGTGCAAGCGATTGGTTGAAATAAAATAGAACCAGATGTTTGTCCTGAAATGACCTGGTTTGTGTTGAGTGGACTTTAAACCCCAATTCTCTCTCTTTCTCTTTGACCATTTCAGCATTTCGGTTAAAGTTGCCTTATGTAAGAGCTAAATCTGCCTATTTAAACATTTATTCACATGGCAAACCCATAATCAATTCCCTTGGCCATCCAATGGCTTAGATATTGAAAGGATTAGCCCTGTTAAAATTTAATGATTTCACGATAAAATGGATAATCAAGACTTTGATTATCATCATAAAAGTAGTACTTGAAAATCAAGACTATATTGCCAAAACTCCAAACACTCATAACTTTGCTCAGAATAAAATAATTTGACACGTTTTTAGTATATTCATCATGCATCATCTATTTTTGAACTATAGCAAGAAGGGTTTCAGTTCTTTATCTAAATCTTACATAATGCATCTTTAAGATTACTTGTTAATTTCAGGATACAATATTACCTAATAATAGTTATGTGATGGTAATGGGACTGGCAGATGGTCGTGTTTTATATGATAATCTTCATGATAGAATTCATCCACTTGGACGACTTAGAAATGATATCACCTATACCATGATATATGACTACTTAAATTGTCTTCAGGTGACTATACTTTGAAACTATTTGAAGTATCAACATTCACTGAAAACAAAAATAGCCATTACATACTCCTAATAGAAATATTCAAATACTGATTTTTAGGTATTCATTATTCAAGGTTTATCTCCAAAACATTTTGTTCCTTTCGATATTGGCATGTATCGGATCAAAACTTCATGGATTATGGTCCCTGATTGTTCGAAAAATCATGTTTTTAGCTTGTGGACACTCTACAGGTCACAATTTTTATCCGATTTAGATGCAACTTGAAATGAATGTTTATAACCCGATGATTCCAGTTCCTTTCGATATTCGCGCATATCGGACTGCAACTTCCTGGATTATTGCCCTGATTGTTCGAAAAATCACGGTTTTAGCTTGGGGTCCCTCTAGAGGTCACAATTTTTATCCGATTTCAAAGAAAGTTCAAATATATCACTGTTACACCATAATGATGATTTAGTTTGAATTTTGTGAAAATTGGACCAAAACTGCTGAACAAAATGGCCGCTCCTTGTATGCAAATAGTCTTAAATTATGTAATATCAAGGTTGTACGCAAATAGTCTTAAATTATGTAATATCAAGGTTGTGGAGGCTCTAGAGGTCACAGTTTTAATTCGATTTTGATATATGTTTATATCCCAAAGATCTTGGTTCCTTTCTAATCACGCATATCAGACTGTAACTTCCTCGATTATGGCCTCTGATTGTGCGAAAAGTCACGTTTTTAGATTGTGAACCCTCTAGAGGTCACAATTTTTATCTGATTTTAAAAAAGGTTTAAATATGTCACCGTTACACCCTAATGACGGTTGAGTTCAAATTTAGTGAGAATTGAACTGAAACTGCCTGACAAAATGGCTGCACCTTGTACGCTGATAGTGTTAAAGTATGCAATATCAAGGTTCTGGACCCTCCAGAGGTCACAATTTTTGTCCCATTGTGATGAAACTTAAAATATATGTTTGTTTTCTTTCAATATTTGCACATATCAGACCGTAACTTCCTGGATTTTGGCCCCTGATTGTACAAAAATTTCTTCTTTTATTGAGCTTGTTGTCCTAATTTGCTCAGGATAGGTTGAATGTCAATGAACCTCTCTGATTTGAAAACACAGGGTGTATATCTCTTAAAGATACATTATGGAAGATTAGATAAAGAGCTGGCAGTTCTCACTATAATAGTTACAAACTAGATAATATAAAGGGAATATGCTGAAAATTTCAGTCAAATTGCTCCACTGTGAACCAAGATATTAGCGTTTGAAATTTAGTTAATAGTTTATATAACATTTCAGGCCCAAAGAAAGACCTGCAACAAGCAGCTATTTAGCTCTTGCATAATGTATGTTTAATTCATTGTGACTGCTATCTTAAAAGGTCACTGATTTTTAAAACATATACATATTTAAATTAAATTGAAATAAGATATTTCTGAATCTGAGAAGTTTTTGTGTTTTTGTAGATATCACCATGTACTGGTTGGATGAATAGTAATGGCACAGTTAGAAATTTAACTACAGAGGTGTTTTTTTAAAATTTATTTTCAAAATAACCTTAAACTGTTCTATTTGATGAAAAACCAAACTCTGGCCCATGAAAAGATTCTAGTGAAATTTAACTACAGAGGTTCTTTATTTACAGTAATTTCATTTTCAAAATAACCTTAAACTGTCCTATTTGATGAAAATCCAACTCTGGCTCATCTAAAGATTTTAGTGAATATTGTCAGTGGTGCCAGCTTGTTTTGTTCATATGTAGTCTACAGAAGATGTTGGTTGTTAACAAGTTGTCTATATTTCATCATGTCTTTGTAAATACTGAACAGAATTGTACCATTTTTGGACTGTTGTTCCTTTTAGGATTCACCATTCATATCCCAGTAGATTAATCTTAAATTTTGCAAACAGTCTAATTTGAATATACATAAAATAATTTTATAGACAATTAAGTCTAAAAAGGGCCAAGAGCTCAAAAGCACTAATGCCTCTTTAAATGTACATAGAGTAACATATAATGTTCTCCTTATGATTATATACAACTACATCACAGATTTTATCATCAAATTGTTATTGTTTTTTTTCTTTTGGATTATATATGATGAATATTATATTTATAGCATGCTGAAACTTTAAGTACAGCCTTACAGCAAGTGGTACAACAATATGGCAAAACATTTAAAAACTTTAAAATTCAATATATAGATTGTCCACTGACAGAGGGTAAGCTTTTATCTGAATCTGCTATCTTATGGTCTTATATTACACATATCCTCTCATTTTAGTTCATTTTGATCTTCCTCTTTGTCAGCTGCTCTAATATCTACCTTGGGTTAGGGTGTTGCTATCTTGCTTCAGGTCTGAAATTAAGTCTAGGTTTGTCCATGATCTCAATGCAACAATAATGGTCTCATTCTTTCCTAGGACTGCTAATATCTTACCTGAGTAGTTCCTTTAGGAACGGTCTCTTGAGCCAACGCTGTTCTCTGACCATTCCTATTCCATCCCTATTGAGCTCCCGGGTTGTACATGCCAAAGAGTAGGGTCACCTGTCCAACCTTGTGGGTTTTCTCCATTTCCTCCCACTACTAAAGATCCCTACGCGCAAGCGAATTATTGAAATAAAATTGAACCACATGTTAGTCCTGAAATGGCCTAGTTTGTGTCGAGTGGACATTAAACCCCCTCTCTCTCTCTCTCTCTCTCTCTCTCCCTTGAAAAATCTTGTAGATGCTTTTGAGGCTAAAGTTAATATCTAATTGACTTTAAACTTATACACAGTGTTTAAGGTCACTTAAATGATTTCCGATAATTACTGCCAGAGTTTGGCCCTTGATCACTTTGAAACATTTTGTGAACACTCTAATATAAATTGTTTAGGGTCATGAGACAAACAATAAAAACAAATTCTAATGATTTCTGATAATTACTTGATGGGTTATTACTCGTAATCAGATTTTCATGTGTTGTAAATGTTCTCATTACTGAAAAAAGAACAAATATGTGACAACACTTGTTGACTGCCTGGTCAACTTAGCTGCTGTGGGTTTATGTTTTGTTGCCCGGCAACCTATCTTTATACATTTGTGTCAGATGTGGCGAGAAATGGTTCCCTTTTGTGAAAAAACAATAATCTCAGTGAGAAATAGAAGGTAAAGATTCCAAAATAGCTTTAGAACAGAGGTGGGTGTAGAGTGGTATTTTCATACTGCAGCTTAATAGGCACGAAAAGGAACGGTCAGAGAACAGCGTCTAATCAGAGACCGTTCCTAAAAGAACTATTACCTGAAGGAAGAAAAAATGATTTGTTCACATTTTAACGGGATAGCAATATTGACGTACATGGTTTTAATGTCTACAAATTGTTACGTTTATTTTAGTATTTGATGTGTGGACAAAGTCTGGTGGTCAAGCTTGGCAACTAATTGAACCAGTAGATGGTTTCCATAGTAATCAGGTGAGTAATACTGTTATATATACTAGAATAGGACAATGGTGGATCTAGGAATGAAATAGTATTACATCTAACTCTTTGATGTAAAAGATTTACCTGACTGTGAAGTAATCCTTAAATATCATATAAATACTACGGTAACTATAAGAGACAAATTAATAAACAAGTACGATAGGTACTTTATAGACAAGGTAAAAAACATTACTTTATTACAAACATCTAGGAATTGTGACCTGATATAAAAAATATCAAGGAACAGGCATGCAAAGTTTGATGTCGATTGTACTTGAATTGGTGGAGCCTTGGCTTGCAGTCAATAAAATCAGTATTTTTATTTCAGATGGGTCAGGCATTAACTGCTCAAATTATGTGGGACAATATGGTGAAGTTATATCCTGATTTTATTGGTCCTGTTAATCCATTTAATAAACAAATTGAAGAAATATTTGGTAACCAAATGCGTTCTGTATAAATACAAACACTCACCTGTCATCCAGACCTTAAAATCACTTAATAATAGCACACAAACAGTTTCTTTTAAATGACCAAACATTTAGTTACTAAAAACTGTCCATATTGCATTTGTGCAGTGAGGTCATTTTTGTAAAATTTTGTGTTTTTGAAGATATGAGAAAATATATAACTTTTTAAAGTGTTCTGTTCAAAAACTACCCATCATAATGTACCAGGGGCTCACACATGTTCCTGAAGCAACGATCGATCGCGAGTTTTACAACATCTAGCCGTTGCTTCAATACTCAACAATTCCCAAATTTTTGCGCTCGTTGTGTTTACACGTGACTAATTAGCATTGTCCAATCAGAGGTTGTGACACATAGCACACTGTAAACGAATATGGCGGCCTCCATAGAAAAAGAAATAGACAAGTTTACAGCCGTTGTTGATCAGCCATGATTTCAAGCAACCTTGACATTGATCGAACCTTGAACTTTGCAACTCGATTGTCACATGTAGACATTTTAGCTAGAAGCGCGAGACTTGATAATCGTACCATATTTATACCCAATCGAAATTAGTGCTAAAATATGCGGGGTATTACGTGAAGGGCTTAATAAGATGTACGTAGTTAAGGCGAGATCAAGCCTTCTGTTGAAGATGGGGCTCACATAAATAAAACATTGATCTATTTGATGTTAAGCATACTTTGTGCAATAGGGCCCATCGTTCTATTGGAAATAGTGTAAATTATGAATAATGTCCTTTCATACACATTTAAACAGACCTTTGCTTAATTTTTTCTTGTTTCTTAAATTATATATTGGTTAACTTATTGTTAGTACTGACATTTGATGTATTATATATATATATTTTTACTGACTGGCACATTCCACACCTGCTATTGTTATATTTGATTATGATATGATTTAAGATATGTCGAAATTATTTATAAATGCTAGTTATTTGGATTTATTATTATGTGCCAATTTTATTTAAAATAATAAAAATATTGTGCATACATTAATGTTTCATAAAATGCTTCAATCTACTAATGATACAGCGGACACATGTCCACATCTGGTGTTCCAAAGATATGGATGTCGGAGTCATGGTTTCGCTGAGTACTTTATTTTTTGTTCCCCGCCTTTTGAAGAAAGCAGGGGACTATTAAAATGGGTCTGCCCATCCATCTATCTGTCTGTCACACTTTTTGGGACACAACAACTCTCCTTTTAATCGAATAGAATGTTCAAGCTAGGTGTAGGTGTTTATTATGTCAATGCCTTGATGGAATTTGACTTTGAGGAAGATGAACTTTGTGTATAGTTTCATGATATCAAGTCTCATTAAAAAGCTAAATATTGTGATTACATTTGTTTTATATACAATATTCCTTTAATTATACTGAAATAATAGATTGAAAACAAATAACACAAAAATCAGAGTTTTATTGGTCAAGTTAAATAGTATATATATAGCTAAATATTCAAAAACAATAAAGTTAACTTATAATGGGAACATTTGTGAAGCTATGAAATAAAGGAATGTATTAAGTATGAAAAACATTCCATAAAATATATAAGCGGAGTCCTATAACAGTTACAGTATTACAGCTAATGTACAATAGTTTTGAGAAAGTTCTTGCCGTGTGTTGCAAAATGATAAAATGGAAACAGATTTCAATTTTCCAAAATACCAAATTACCCTTTCTTGAGGCCCCTTTTGTGGCTCATAAATCTCTCTGAATAAAGATAACCAATGCTGTACTTATACTACAATTCTCAAAACCCCTTTGAAAGACATGATACATGTAAGTTTCCTACTGGTTTGAAATCATTGCATCCTTCTATAGATAATAGTAAGTTAAGGGAAATCGGACACATAGAAACCAATAAGAAAACCCACAGACGAATATTAGTTAAGACAATACAGACTGGGATGGCCAAGATTAGCCTATGGCTCATCTTAAAATTTCCTGGCTTGCTTTGACAAGCTCGGTTGCTGGTCACCATTGGGAATATCAAGGATGGCTGGTGGCTGCCACTGAGCAACCTGAACTCAATTCACTCCTTTCTCAAAGGTTCGAATCCAGTAACAAGTTTGGTACTATCACTATTTATCAAGAAGTGGCTATGAAGAACCAGCCCATTCAGACCTTCCACTTTTTCAAAATCATTTGTCTCCCAAAATATAATTGAGATAACATTTTAAGACCACTAATATACAATATAAAATAATAATAATCCTTTTCGAAAAAAAAAAAATCTGAAATGTATTTATATGGCTCTTCATATCACTGTGAATTCTATAATATATCCACAATTACACCACTGTATATTAAAGTCACATATAAGCTAAAATATTTATATTTACATTATTATATAGAATGTACGGAATTACATATTACAGAACCGATAGTTGCAAAATCTGAACACATTTTGATATGATACAATTATTCTGAAGTTGTCTTTCAAGTATATTTATCATAAACTTTTACATTAAAAACCATAAGACATACATACACGAGAACATACATACAACTGTTATCAAGCATAATTTTATGCTTGGATGTAGTTGCCCTGAAGGGTCATAAGTTACTAATTCACAAACAGTAATATGACAACATATCATATATATATATATAGAACACCTGGTACCACTTTAAGAAGTCCGTAATTATATACCCAACATATTTTGTAATACAATTAGTAGACTGGCTCAATGTGTAAGACCAAGCTTTTGGCTATTCTAGTTGCTATAAATTTATTACGGTTCAAATCGTCTTACCGTTATCCCCTATGGACTTGATCTAATTGCAGCCTAATTATAGATAACCACAATATATACGTTTCTGATAACGAAGTTACAATGAATGCTCAATACGGTCAAGACATCTAGACAAATCGAGTGACGAACTTCTCAGTCACATGCAGTGTAATGTCGCTGACCTGGAATATTATATTGTAGTTTTTTTTACTACTTACAATGAAATACTTAAACGACAATATCGGCGTCAACAGACTGCACTCAGTTCTAATTGATATCTAATTGACAGTATCATAATATAACAACTTCTCGTCTTCACTGGAATTATTGGAGAGCTTAAAACCGTCCTCGTGGCAGGGAACAGTGTCTAGTTGTTCGGATGAGTCGATAAACCGGGATGCCGTGTACGCGTTAACGTGTACGTAAAAGAACCATTGGCAATTAAATTCAATTGCCGCCCATGCAACATTTCCCTCATAGCGTATTGTATGGCATAATATGTCCGTCTTCATTATGCCAGTTGGTGCAAAAAAGGACGTTAACCCCCATTTCATTCTTTTCCGCCTGTTAAAGTCATTAACAACAAGTGATCCCCCTTTTTGATTCACTTCCGGGATCTTCCAGTCGCTGTAATGGATAAGCCATAGCAAAGATTTCTGTAGAACTAATTCTATCAGATATATAAACAGCGGTTGCCACGAAAAGATACGCCCACATTTTGCAAGAGATGAAAAGCGAACAAGGTAAAAAAAAAAGTGATCTTTCGTGCAATCTGGGGACATAATCCAGGAAATATAGAAATGGACTGCGATATTTGGGATATAAAAATATATTTTAAGTTTCATCAAAATCGGATAAAAATTGTGACTTCTAGAGAGTACACAACCTCGATATTACATACTATTACACTATTTGCGTACAAGGAGCGGCAATTTTGTCCGGCAGCTTTGGTCCATTAGGGTGTAACGGTGATACGTTTAAACGCTTTCTAAAATCGGATAAAAACTGTGACATCCACAAGCTAAAAACGTGATTTTTCGTACAATCAGGGGACATAATCCAGGAAGTTACGGTCCAATATGCGCAAATATTGTAAGGAACCAATATCTTTGGATTATAATCATACATTTCAAGTTTCATCAAAATCGGATAAAAATTGTGACTTCTATAGTGTCCTCAATCTTGGTATTACGTGCCATTTTGTCTGGCAGTTTGGGTGAGATATTCACGGAATTTGAACTTAATCTGCATAGATGTGTAACGGCGATATGTTTAAACGTTTTTTAAAATTGAATACAAATTGTGACTTCTAGCGGGTCGACGGGCTAAAACTGCGATTTTTCGAACAATCAGGGGACAGACATCATCCAGGAAGTTACATTCGGATATGCGCGATTATCGAAAGGAACCAAGATCTGTGTGATATAAACATAAATTTAAACTTTCATCAAAATTGGATCAAAATTGTGGCCTCTAGAGGATCCACAACCTTGATATACCATATATTTACACTATTTGCGTACGAGGGGCGGCCATTTTGTCCAGCAGTTTTGTTCCGATTTTCACGAAGTTCGAACTCAACCGTCATTAGGGTGTAACTGTGATATATTCAAACGATTTTGTAAATGGGATAAAAATTGTGACCTCTAGTGGGACCACAAGCTAAAAACGCGATTTTTCGGACAATCAAGGGCCATAATTCAGGAAGTTAAGTTCCGATGTGCGTGAATATCATGTATCATGAATATCATGGGTTATAAACATGTATTTCAAGTTTCATCAAAATCGAACCAAAATTTTGTCCTTTAGAGGATTCACAACCTTGATATACCATATATTTACAATTATTTGCGTACGAGCGGCGGCCATCTTGTCCGGCAATTTCTGTCCGATTTTCATGAAATTCGAACTCAACCATCATAAGGGTGTAACGGTGATATATTCAAACGCTTTTTTTTTAAATCGTATAAAAATTATTACCTCTAGAGTGACCACAAGCTAAAAACAGATTTTTCGTACAATCAGGAACCATAATCCATGAAGTATCGATCCGATACATGCCAATATCGAAAAGAGCCGAGATCTTTTGGAGATAAACCTATATTTCATGTTTCGTCAAAATCGGACAAGAACTGTGACCCGTAGACAGGTCAGAGGCGACAACAATAATATACGTCCACATGAAAATGTGGGCGTATATAAAATCACTGGACGCTGGTATTGCCATTCTAAATCTGTGTTGTTTCAATGTAAGGCTTGGATCACTTATTTCATTGGTTTTCCATAGTTAGCGCAAACGACCAGTCTTTAGAAAAATTACTTTCTAATAATCCATCGAATGTTAATTGCACACTAAATATACAATTGTACTTTGAACTAAATAAAACATTAAAATAGTTCGCTTTCACTTTTTAAAACCAAATAAAGCCCTCTCAATAGCGTTACTTTTGTGTGGCATAATATTTCTTTCTTCCCGGAGTTCCTCAGATGGGAAGAAAGCCGGCGATTCTTCTTTGTACTCCACAAGTTTAAAATATTTAGCAATGGCGACACCTGGTATCCACAACAGAGAACACAGTATAAGGCATACGGCTACCACCTGACACCACCACGGCCATGGTATCGTCTGCGCCATGCCCTGAAAAAAATATAGGGGCATCATGGAAGATTAGATAAAGAGCAGACAGTTCTCACTATATTAGTTAAAAACTAGATAATGTAAAGGGAATATGCTAAAAATGTCAGTCAAATTGCTCCACTCTGAACCGAGATATTAACGTTTGAATTTTAGGCCTAGTCTCGATGATCATTACTAAAGTCAGTACGATAAAACAAAAACCAACATAGTCTCGATTATTCATTTTTGGATTAAATCATCAATGAGCGTTGACCAGCAAATCGGATTCAAATCCAGTGAAAATCTGACAAACATGATGGTATCGAGAGTTGATTAAGGTCTTTTCATTTTAACAAATGCCTAATTAATAGTTTATATAACATTTCAGACCCAAAGAATGACCTAAAATATGCAGATTTAGCTCTTGCATAATGCATGTTTAAAGAGACCTTAACGGTACATTTTTTAAAATCATTTTGTCTGAGGTTTTACGTACTCTTAAACAAGTCGCACTTTAACCCGATTCCGAACTTTTCGTTTTCTCATAAATTATTATTGGTACGCTAAAGTTGTATTCCTTCTTTCAAATTTTCATAATGTTAATATCAAATTATCATAATATGCCGATATCGCAAATTCTGCTACAAAATTGAAAATTTCCGTCATTTTCATAGTCCTCAGGTGCAAAACCTATTTCCCAAAATGTTCTGCGGGGAGAGCACCCTAGACACTGGATAAAACATATTTAATTTCCTCGTGAAACGACCCCTTCTATAATAGTATATTCAACAAAGTTCGGTAGGTAGTGGGTTCACGAGTCTGTCATTATACAAAATACTGTAAGTATGGGTTTTAGAGGTTTTGTCAAGGTCAGCGTTCAACGTGAAATGGTCGAGAGATCGTTGAACCACCGTAATAACCCTAACCCTAATTGTAACCTCTAAAGCGAGGATTCAACCCAATGTACTTACCAGGTCAGCATTCCATATTTCATATGATACACCAGTAGAATACATCTCTACAAGACTAGCGACAAGGATGACAACCATAGAAACAGGTGCCATATATTTCCAGGCAAACAGGAAAAAATAAGATGGTCTTCCACCCAACATTAACTCAATGTCGTCACTCAATCTATGTAGAAATATAACACGTAATGTATAATATTGAATGATGAACGATTTCTTCAAAAATGAAGATTACAGCATGCTTAGGTAGATACGAGTTCAAATGTATTCAGTCGATAAATCTACAACCCTTTCATAAAAAATCACAGCTCTCTATTGCAAGATACGCGACGAAGAAATCGAGTTCCAAGTTTTGAATTGTGAGGATATCGCCATTACACTTTTGCAAGAATATTTAGAGGAATTTATGGAAAAGTGCGCATTAACTTAAATTCCAGAGCCATCTACTGGGTCAATTGTAAATGGAAAGGGGCAACCAACTAGTCACAGGTGTCATTTTTGTACATTACTTTGTATGAATATTAACATGTAGAATGCCCCAATGATCGATTCGTGTGGGTCTGGTTAGCTGCCACGCTTATTGTTTGTTAAATTCTGGCCATTGAACTTTTAAACTATTGATAAGCCAATAATCACAAAATATACTCACTGTTCTAACCCATATACATATGATATAGATACACATTCCATAAAGGCTATGACAAGTAATGGTATATTAGCCGAGAAGGAATCAAAGAGGGAGAAAACATATGGTCCAGTGTTGGTGGCAAAACAAAGACTAATTATACAAGATGCTAAACATACCACACCTAAAATAAAATTTGAATTCAATTTAACTAGTTAAAAAGATTTTTATGTGTTACGAAAATTGTTAGCTGTGCGATTTTTCCAAATGAGTCAGAAGAGGGTAAGTATATTCTGCCTCGTGTACATCATCTATGTCACCACTTATGGCTTCTGTCACAGTTTAGACTACTGAAAATAACCTCTCTCAGAATGTATTTTCTGTTAAATAGGATTATTTTGTGATTACATCAGTTATTGGGAACATCCACCATCCCCCACCGATGCGTTACAGCCACTTAAACATCTAGCTTGTGTAATGCAATACAGTAGACCAGACTACTCTTTCAATTAATGCTTTCTGTTGTAATATAGACGCACACTCTTATTGGCTTCTTAAATCATTTAAACTATCAAAGCATTGAAGTATATTACCACAAACAATTTCCTTTCTTAGATGAGGAAACAGCATCATATCATAAATAGAGGTCAGTGCTCCCTCAAGTGTCCCAAACATACTGTCTAACCCCAGGGTGAACAGCATCAGGAAAAAAAGAACAGCCCAGAGTGGTGCCACGGGGAATTGATTTATGGCTTCTGTAAAAGCTATAAAGGCTAATCCAGTTCCTGACGCCGACTGAAAAGGAACAAATTACAGTATTTATATATAGAGAGCTCCGTATCATTGCATTCTTAAATCCCTGTAGTGTTTTTTTTATTATCAAATCATTAAACATGGATGTATATTATTGACCATCTGTGTCTAGCTATTGTGCCCTGGATAGAACGTTGTGAAGAGAAATATGTTCTAATTAACTGTTGTTGCATAAATATACGTATTAAAATAAAAGCTGTCATCGAAAGGTTATAGAATATTTTACCAAATGGTACCAGTAATAGGTTTTATGGAGAAAGACCCGTTTGCCATTAATATGAACAATGACGTTTTTAAAATCTAATTAGATTCCAACTTTCGATAAATAATAAAGAAGACCGCCACTTATTAGAATAATTAAAGATGGCGGGCATTGTACTATCACATCAATGAAAGTGACATTTTCGTCTTCTACTTTGGGAAGTTTGGGGTTTCTTGTTGTTTGGAAATAAAATTACACTGTCCCCGTGTATAAACAGTCACTATCTCGTAAGATATGAATTTTACTATGACTTTTATATGGTTTTACATGGCAGAAACGGGAACACGCCTGATATCGTTCAGGGAGAAAATCCACATTAGAAATGAATTTAAACCCCAATATATTTGGAATAGATTAATTTACCTCTTCTATCAATTTCTTAAAATCGCAGACGACAGTACCGTTAGCACCAGTTGTTACATTTCCCTGAGTTTCTAAACATTTCTCATACGCCATTGTACTTTTAAATCCTGTAAAAGCAGATAAAAACAATTTAAACTTTAACATTACGCACATAATTAAATAGATTCAAATAATACATTTGTTGCTTCTGTAGTGTTTCAGTATGTGTGTCATGTATTGCAAAAATAGGCAATTACACGAGAATAGGCTGTGGAACTCTGTTCCATTTATACAAACCGTCAACTAATATGATTGTCTATTAAAATATTATTTTCAGACAAATCATTTCCACATTTGCAATGTAAATTCCATATTAGTTCGTCATCCGAATGTAACCATAGCTTCAAAGACTACACAAATTGAAGGAACCCCGTGAGCTTTCCAGCCGAAAACCACCGATTAGGTACTTTCACTTTTCCAGCACCCCCCCCCCCCCAAAAAAAAAAAACAACAACCCCAGCCTATTCGGTAAGATCACTTTGACACATTCTACATTATCTGAAAGTCCAGTTTTGCGTATTGCGTAATTTAACAAATAGCGTTATAATACCTTTTTTCAGACAACAATGTGATGTCGTCTTCAAATTGTATGAAGGTTTCAAAATTTATAGACCGGTTCCTTATCCTTTTTATTTAGATAATAATTGACATGATGATCAGACTGACTGTAAATATCTTTAGACATTAAGCTGACCACCAGAAACAAATGCTTACTGCCATGTCTCGTAACGTTATGGAGATGGGACCCATTCGCTGAACATGCTAATTCTGATATCAGTAATTATCAGTAATTTGAAAAACATTATTTGATTTTAGTCAAATTTATATAATCTTAATATTATCGATAACATTTTTTGTCAATATGTTGTAGCATGACTTACAAAAGCAAATGGAATAGTCGGACCCTGCATAAAAAAATTGCCACAGTTAAACATGGCACGAGCATCTCCAGCTATTACCTTTGTAATTTATGAAAAACTATATAAAAATAAAACTGAAGCAGTTCATACTCTAAACATGCTCTCTCTCTCTCTCTCTCTCTCTCTCTCTCTCTCTCTCACATCATGATCTTCATCACGCTATTCTATTCTATTCGCGTTCTTATTATATATAATGTATATATTCCATTAATGACTTCTTTAACTATTTTGTTGATTCACTTTCTTCAATGATATATTGTCTAAGTGTTCTAGAAAATTTTATGTTAGTTTTTCTTGTCGTAATGACGTTTCCTGCTGGGTATTGGCTTACTTTAATAATAACAAGTAGAATACTTTGCTTTTATTTCTTTAGGTAATCTCAGAAACCGTAAATCACTTAGTTGTGGTTTCCAAGGTGATTGAAATATTGACTTTGGTCTACCCGGGGAGACATCACGTTCGTTAACGAATACAGGCAACTCCGTGGTTCCCCGATAGATCACGAAACTTAATTTGGTTGATTGGTATGTGCTCTTTTCGGAATGAAAGTAGCCAACCAGGTGCGGGTTGCATCATTATTTTGTCGCCAACACTATGTCTGTTTGGCTGTGTCGTCTGTTCTGTTCTGAAAAATATCATGGAATACAACTTCAAGAGAGAAAACAAATTTGCTAATAGAGTTCACTCGATAAAAAGTTTTTTAATGTCATGAGTGCGACCTGTTTAAAATGATTGTAAAAAATAACTATATCCAAATTTAGAAACCTATCAATCCCCCCACCCCACCCCACCCCACCCTGCTTGTACTTAAAGCACTGGTTTAGTGCATTTGCTTTTCGACAAATCAAATATTTACAATTTTGGATGGTCGTCTATCGTCAAACAGACTAGGTCAATGGTGGATCATAATTACAATGTGATAACGATGTTTAGTAATACTCCCCACCATTCCTTCAGGAATATTGTGAAAGGTTATCTCTTAAAGATTGGTCTTAAGTCATATTGTACGAGGGTTGGCTGAAAAGTTCTGAAAACGATAGATCATTTAGGTTGAAACACATTTTTGCTATCAACAAGTACAATCATAGGGCAGTCACCAAATACCTACAACTGGAAGGACTAACCCAAACACAGATAGGTGCCGACGTAGTCTCCACCATGGGGTTGATGTCCTTTCCTTTTCCACAGTTAAGGAGTGGGCTGCGGAATTAAATTGTGACAGAGAAAGCATTGGAAGGCCACCAACATCAACCATTCAAAAAACAATTATCTGGGTGCATGACATGGAGATGGCTGGTGGACGATTGACCCCTAGACGTATTGTCAGTGTTGTGGGCATCTGTGGGTATTTTCCTAGTTATCCAAACCTTGCAACATCGTTGGCAAATGTGTGTACAACTCGAAAGGGACTACTTAGAAACATTAAATGGAAACAATCGACTTTGTGCAGGTCTTTCATAGATAGGCTTAGAACTGTTCAGAAAGCCCTTGCATGTTCTGTAGACCATAACAACACAGACCAGTCTGGATGAATGAGACAATACCCAAGACAAACAAACATGTTTTCAATTGCTGAGTATATAGAGTTTATCAACTTATAACGACGGTGCAATAACTCCGAGAATAATCGACATACTATTTATAAAGAGTTTATCTTTATAACCACACGAACAATCTATGACGTGAAGAGCGTTTAATGATTTCACTGGTGGGAAAATATGTGAGATGCTGAATTTTGATACAAATGTTCCTTTTAGTCCAACAATCCTAGCACTTTGAAAATGATATTCAACGTCGGTGCAATTACATTACCTAAAAAGACTAAAAAACGGGGCCATATTTCGATTTTCATTAAGCTACGATCCAAAAATATGAATATACGACCACACTAACATACGTAAGAAACTGTCTTCTTAGCCGTGGAACTCTTACTGACATTGAATGATTAAACAACCACCAATTACAAAATCGTCCAAATGTCTTACCTAATATGGAAAACACAACAATGGCAGTAAAAACCGACGTAAAGAAATCACAGACTGTCACTATTAAAGTTTCCTTGAGAAAGTTACTGCGAACAGGATTATAAGAAGCGAGAGCTATAAGGCAGCCAAAAGCCAGCCCAAAAGAATAAAATATCTGTGTAGCGGCATCTAACCAAACAGCCGGTTCCACCAATTTACTCCACTGAAAAGGAAAAAATTAAGTCATTTTTAAATATTTCATATAACAGCTGCTAAGTTATAGCCCGGAGAGAACGTTTTCATAGAAAAGTAATCGTCCAATTATTATATTACCTTTGTTGGAATACGAATATTATACGAAATAAATCACGAGAAAGCAAATAAATGTAGAAAATATGAGGACAATACTAAGCGACCTTCTTAAATTAGGGTACAATATAATCAATATGCTAAGTTACATAATATAATATACGCCGTCCAGTTTCCGGTTCGTAGATAAATCATAGACGGTTCTTGAAGTTCGTAATGCTAGCTCCCCTCTGTCGTGCGATGCGTTACGATATGATTGGCCCTATTGAGTCCACGATCTGGTACATGGAGATACGTTCAGATATGTTACGATACGATCGACAAGACTGCCACGACTGACCTTAATATATGATGTGACCTAATAGGATCACCATGATTACCCCACGATTAAAACCACGATTTCAATCGTAGCTCAAATCGTGATAGTGGGAACCGAGCATAAGTGATTTTTGAAACAAAACCTGTCGTGGCCCGCTTTCATATGGGCTACGAATGCCACGAATCATTCCGAATCCAAACTTGACACCCGGAATATGTTTCACACGACTACACACGAATTATTGTAACTCTTAGCTACTCCAGATTCTCAACGGTCATTATGATTAATTTCGATTCGCCACTATTCGGGGATATTCGCAGCATTAGGAGCCCATCAGTGAAAGCCGGGCATAAAGAGGCCGGCGTTGGCTTAAACTGCAACTGGTGCATGCGATTCAAAGTTTTCATATATTGCTTCGTTGCGTTTAGTTTGCTTACTGAAAATATTAATGGAAGTGGAAAGGCCCATTAATTTATCATATTACTGAAAAATACATAGGCACCCATCTCACCTCTGGTACAAATAAATGTTCCAAGCCTTTTTCAAAACCACGTAAAGTCACACCTCTAAAGAAAAAGACAACCAGTACAAGGTATGGGAAGGTAGCTGTCACATAAACAACCTATAAATACAAGAGAAAAATTGTATAGTGGCTTTTCTACGATATCACCCTTGTTGGAAGTGGACGTAAAACTCCAGGAGTGAACGAACATAATAGTGGCTTTATTTGCATTTGTTTTATTATCTTAAAAAACATACATTATATTTGTGGGCTTGGGCAATCTAGCATGTCAAGCAGCAATTCGAGTGTAATTAATAAATTTTTAAAAAACAAACATCACCTGAAATATCAAAATTATTCCGGCAAAGCTTATTTCTACATGAAAGATAAAAGGTGCCAATATATTAGTGGGATTATTTGCGATCGATAGTTTCAATGATCTGCAAGGTGCTTAATTTACAAAGCAAGTAAAGAAATACACAATTTCCGTACTCGACACAGCAAACATGCAATGGACTCGTGACCCTTTAAATAACTGTATGGAGTTTGGAAAAGAAACAGATAATCAGTTTCTTGAAACAACTGATCAAATATAACTACTAGAAGGGTCAATATTCATCATTATTAAATTTTGTTTCAGGCAGCGATATTTATAAGCATCTTCATACTGTAATTCAGAGGTGAGTTGCCACTCCTATTCATGATAAATTCCCCGGTAAAATTCTATTGTTTCATCTCTTTAATCAACAAATAACCAATACCACGAACGTCTAAACCAACAACAACAATATTGTCAAATCGCAGGACTATCTTTTGGAGACACAACATCCGAATCACTATGTAACCACAAATTGAATAATTTTCCAAATGGGAAGCATACACTTGTAACACTCAGTGCAGATGCTTTGTTTTCAATTACTCTTATAATATACTCTTAAAAAAAAAAAGAAACGCATAGTGACATTTCGTCGTCGGTATACCCTCGCTCTACCATCGCCTAATTGCAATAGGAACCGCGACTCATCCCTGAACCAAACTGTTCTCCAGCGCTGCTGTGACCATACCCTATGTGCCTGAACCCATTGAAGTCGGATTTGACGGTGTCGGCGTATTTCAAAACAACAGCTCCAACGGGACATGGGGAATGTAAAATAGTGACGTATAAGACGTATGAAAAAGAAGGAAAATAGATTACACAAAAAAGCGCCGAATAAGAAAATTAGAAATGATTACATAGACCTAATTCGGAAAAGCAAAAACGATTACTTCGACAAAATAGATAAAACAAGCCAACAGTGAGGCTGCTGTCCCCGCCGAAATCCCAATATAAATAGATGGCACATATTAATCGCACATTAACTTTTTCAAAAGTATCAAGCAATCAAACTGATTATCAACTATACACTAAGTTTCATCACTCTCTATCAGATAGAATCAAAGTTATCTTGTCCCAATACATCGACCAATGAAATTGCTTAGCTCAGCTTAGCTTGAAATATTAATCATTGAACTCAGTCAAGACATTCACCTAATGAACATCTACATCAAGTTTAAACATTCTACCTCAATTAAAAGCAGAGTTGTTACGTTCCAAAGTCTTGACCAATCAAATTGCTAATCGCTCCTTAGCCTAAGCAGAAAATTCTCATCATCGAACTTAGTCAAGTTAATGATATAATGAATCTATACTTAGAGTTTCATCACTCTCAGTTAATTATAACCAAAGTTATTGTGCCCTAAAGCATCAACCAATCAGATTGCTTAGCTCTGCTTACAGTATGCAGACAATGTCTATCATCGGGCGCCTTGAAGGCATTCACCTACGGAATGCCTACACCAGGTTTGAACATTCTATCTCAATTAGAAAGAGAGTTATTGTGTTCCAAAGTCGCGACCAATCAAGTTGCTTATCGCTCTGATTACCTTGAACAGAAAATGCTCATTATCCAACTTAGTCAAGGTATGGTGTGATAAACTATACACCAAGTGTCCTCACTCTCACTAAATTAGAACTAAAGTTATCGTGTTCCGAAGCATCAGCCAATCCAAATGCTTATCTCTGCTTACCCTAAGCAGAAAATTCTCATCTTTGAACTCCATCAAGGCTTGACCTAATAAACACCTACACCAAGTTTGAACATTCTAGCTCAATTAGAAGGGGAGTTATTGTGTCCCAAAAAGTGTGACGGACAGACAGACGGGAGGACGGACTGACAGACAGGCGGGCGAACCCATTTTCTGTGTCACTAAGTTTTGTCCCCCGCTTTGTTTGAAAGGCGGGGGACAAAACTTAGTGACACAGAAAACTTTGGAACAAAAACCTAGTGGAAAATTATTAATTCATATACTAAAACACACGCTGCTTCTACAAACCACTTTGTTTACTCAATCTGAAAAAGCAAATTCCTTAAACTCATTCTTTATCCAACAATCACAACTAGATGGCTCTACCACTGCTTGTTATGAATCCTAACAGCACCGATAAGATTGTATCAAACCCAGAGGAAGTTAAATACCTAATAGACTGTTTAGATACCACAAAAGCCTCAGGACCGGACGAAGTTAATACGCGAATCTTAAAATACATCTCAAAAGAAATCAGTCATCCAATTATAGACCAATCTCCGTCTTCAGTTTCAAAAAGTTTGAAAAAAATCATCTACAAACATGTCTTCCTTATAGATACTCCATACTAACACCTGTCCAGAGCGGCTTTCTTCCTGGTGATTCTACCATATTCCAATTAATCGACCTAACACACTTTTTCTGTCGAGCCATCGATCAACATCAATACACTAGAAAAGTCTTCTGTGATATCAGCAAGGCTTTTGACAGGGTTTGGCATGCCGGACTCTGTCACAAGCTGGATGCTGCGGGGGTTCGAGGAAGACTACTGCTCTGGTTCGCAAATTTAAAAAAAAAATAGACTACGTGTAACCATCAATGACACCACCTCCTCGGACCCCAGATGCACCCCTGCTGGTGTACCACAGGGATCTGTACTAGGCCCCCTTTTATTCTTAATATACATAAATGACATAGTGAACAATATAAATTCTAACATCAGATTATTTGCTGACGATACCTCTTTATACTTAAAAGTTGGAAATCCAGAGGCAAGTGCTGCTACTATCAACGATGACTTAAATAGAATCAAAAAACATGGCTAGTAACTTTTAACCCCCTAAAACAGAGATACTGACTATTACTACCAAACCCAACATAGTTAAACTACCATTATTTATAAAACAGGTACAAATCAAAGAAGTAAGTGAACATAAACATCTAGGTCTAATCTTTCAACCTAAATGTAAATAGAATAATCATATAGATAGCATCGTAAGCAAAGTATCCAAACTAGTAAATTGCCTTCGCTCTCTAAAGAAAATCTTTAAACACAATTTACTGTTCTTTTATTCTTCGATACTTTGTTTATGCCGATATTTTCTTGAATGGGTGAAGAGATTATTTAGCTAACAAACTAGAATCCTTACAATAAGATGCACTACGCACTATCTGTGGGGCGGTTAGAGGTACTAGCCATGCCTTACTCTATAAAGAGACTGAGTTCGTTCCACTCTTGGAAAGACGCCGACGTCATAAAATTAAAATATAAAATTATTTACAACCTCGCGACATCATATCTCTATGGCCTGTTAGAAGTTTCCTCTACTCCTATTAATTATACCCTTAGAAACAAAGATAAACTAAAGGAAATCAGATGCAGAACCGAAATATTCTCTGAATCCTTCATCCCTTCAAGTATACGAGAATGGAACAAACTTAACGCTGAGATTAGAAACTCTCGATCCCTTGCTATCTTTGGAAATTCTCTAAAAAATTAGATACCATCGTGCCACCGTATTACTATCTAAGGAAAAGAAAATTACAAATAATCAACTGTAAACTAAGATTATGCTGCTCAAATCTACAAGGCCATAAATTCCTCAGACACGTCAAAGATCCTGAACACTGAACACTATTTACTCGTATGCCCCTTACATTCAGATGCAAGCAATCAGACAATCCATAACCTTCAACATAATCGTAAAACAATCAATTGTCTGTTGTATGGGTCAACAAAATTTAGTCCTGAGATAAACACACTTATTTTCCAAGAAGTCCAACGATATATTCTTTTATCAAAACGATTTAAATCTCCATAAACAACTCTTAAGTTATCTCCAGCCCTGCACACTGGACAATCATCTAAGTCTCTATATTATCCATTATTAGTCTGATTCAGTTTGTTACACAAATCTCATCCGTCGGCTTGTCGGGTAGAAATCGTGGAATAAGCTTTATTTTGAAGGTTTTGATGTTTAATGACAAAAAACCATCGCCACTTTGTTGCTAAATAGAAGTTTGAGCGCCCCCTATATTACATACAGTTACATCCCATGAAAATCGGTGACAAATTCAGCGATGGTTTTTATGACATGTGCTTTTTTGATAAAATAAAATTAATTCATGGATTTTCTTCACAAAAATGGACATTATCGAATACATGAAATTATAGACAGTATTACAGAAGATATATCAGAGATCTGAGTTAAAGAATTTTCGTTCTTACCCAAATTTACCGATGCAAATATTGATGGTTGCTCCCAATGCATCCAAGCATCAAATTAACTTGATGCCAGCACTAACCTGAGATTTTATCTAGAGATCACTCACGTTAAACGGCCAGTCATGGCAATTCATCTGAGTGGCTGCTTAATACAGATTCTACTGTTGTTTAAACCAATATTCGATAGTGTAAGACGTATCTCAAACACAGTTAGGTGCCGAGACAAATACAAGCTACCCCATATATTGTTTTGCGTTCGGCCTTTGATTTGGTCGGTCATTGATTTGTTAGTAAATCTGATTGATGTCAACTCAAGGGTCATTTTGATTAATGCGAGTGATATTTGATGTGAAATTTCGGTAGCAAATGTCAATTAACACGTAATAATCGCTCCACTATATTGTTCCGATATTTATTTTTTCATCTCACCTTGAGAGTATATTTCTTCTTTTTAAGAAGGGAATGGAGGATACTTTGTTTTTTGCCCCGACTGCCTGTACCTATCAAGACTAGTCTCTCTATTATGACTGGCCCACCCAGCAAGTTTCTAACTTTCTATGGAAACATTTGTCTGCGATATCACTCTAGGTAGAAGGGGACGTTAAGCCACACAAGAATAAGAAGAATGATCTCCATTTTAAAGTTTATTTGTAAACCAGTGTACTTTTGTATTCAAAGAACTTAATTCTGCTGTGAGGTATAATATAATGTTATATTCGCTGTCATATAACACCAGAGCAAGAGCTTTAAAGTGCCGTGTGTTAGTTCCGAAATGACCTAGTTTGTGTCGGGTGGACGTTAAACCCCATTTCTCTCTCTCAAAGTCGATCCTTAGTTAGTCAATACAGATATCTGAATGAATGCTGGATTACATTTGGTGTAATTAGTACGCCTAAATACCACTTTTGATTTATTTGAGAAGTCCACACAGCTAAATCTTAATTTGTTATAAATTTGTATTACAGACATTCAACATTCCGGTGTGGTTCAAATTAATTTAAGCGTTTATGTTATAGAGACGAACTTCTGAAGCCAACAAAGGGAATGCCATGTGTAGCCCAATTCTTTCAACACTGGTCCAGTCAAAATCGATGTACATCTCTAACAGTGATTTCTTTGAATTGATATAACAAGCAAATAGGATTTCATGCCATTTCTAATTTTACTAATAGCATAAGAAGTTCCTATTTTATCCCAAAGTTTCAATGAGTTTTAGTGGAATGAATAAAGGTTATTGATTGCATGTATTCCTATGTTGCGTGATTGAAATCTGCTAGGATGTAAGTAAAGGAAGTAATCTTTTTAAGTACGTCGTTCGTGACATTATCTTCATTTAATCATAAACTGATATGCTGCCTAAATTCAATGTAATGGATATTTTAGTTTGTTCTTAGGTCTTATACTCGTTAGAAAATAAGTGAGATATTTTTATGTTCTATTTCATGTTATTCATCAGATACAGAAATCGCAAATATATGAAACACATTGTGTATGAATTAGAATTTAATCAGAAGTACAAGGAGACTAATAAATAAAATAGCTTAAAGTACATAGATTTAATAAATTCAATATCTTATCACTCTTGCAGTATTCAGTGTTCTCATAAATATAATGTCCTATCCTCATTATAGAAACAACTTAAAAAACAGAGATTCTTATAAATAAAATATCTTATACCTTCTGAAGAATGAACCAAAATCATACAGATTCTAATACATAAAATATTCTTTCGACATAACTAACAGGAAGTACACGGTCTCTTATAAACTAAAATGCGTCACCATAATAGTTACATACATATTTTATTAAATCATTCTAGATTTGTTCTAGATACAATATATACTCTTCAAAAATAGTAGGGGATATTCAGAAACAATACAAAACTGCGGAAATGCACTGGTGTTTTTATTAGAGGTGACCAGTGTATGTTAATAACAGGCCAATAGCCTACGCATGAACATAAACAGTTCATATGAGCGGCTTATCTGACGGCCCCATTTCACTCGCAAAGAGATACACGGTCAAAAGTGAAAATGGACGTTTTTGATTTTTGTCTTAATAATGAGTAATTGCTCCACCAATCCTCATACATTCAGCAATTCGTCGTGGCATGCTCCTAATCAACCGTCGAATCGCGATTTGGGGCAATCTGACCCACTCCTCTTGCAGTGCCACGGCCAATTCTTGCAGTGTTGTCGGTTGACGTTGACGACGACGAACACGTCTCCCGATCAAATTAAACGTAACACACTAAAGCAAAGATACGCTAAACAGTAAATTTTATGAAAGAACCGATAGGACAGCAAATGTGGATAGGATAAACCAGCAAGCGGCAGTTTTCATCAACCCTTCCTTGAAGTGTCAAATTTGAAAATGAACCCCTCCCACATGTATGGCGCTATTGCGTGTCGCACATGCAGCTAAGTGGTTCTGTTGGGACGATAAGTTCTTCATCTGTGAACATACTCTCAAAGCATGTCAAGTGTCCATGACTATTTATCATATCACAACCTGCATAGGTATTTGCATTTCAATACCCCCTACTTTTTTTGAAGAGTATATTTATTTCCGAAGAAAATGATCACAATAATTAATTGCCCAGTTGCTGGCCCGGGCTGCTTTAGTTTGGGCGTTGGTATTTTCCATCTCATTCCTGTGGTGATGAATCGGGGGTTGGATTTCAAATGTGACCAGAAATAGAATTAGTAGAGGTTGAATTGATAACGAATCCAAGATTCGCGTCATTTAAAGATCAAATTTACACAAGCATCTTCTTTATCTAGTCGATCAACAAGCTGTATTCATTGTATCGGTAACCACATTAGATTTGGTAGCTCTGCGATATAGACCTTCGGCCAGTTTAAGTAGTTAAAAAATGTTGCATTCATCGTAGTATTCATGCGTTATTTTCCGATGTCGTTGCCTGTTTTTATATACTTGTACTGTTTAGCAAAACGCCCCTTTTGCATCTTGTCGGTGATTAGTAAGATTGAATATTTTTGAAAAGATTGGCTATGGGCTAAAAACCAGGGCTTCAATCTTGAACAATAATTGTCATTAATTTCAATAATGTTATTACGCCGACTGGTTTTATGCTCGAAATTATTACCAATATAATCTATGGGGGTACGTGGCTCGTGATTGGCCCCTGGGAGGCCATGTATACAGTTTTCGAACTTTGTAGTTTTTCTATTGACCCAATTTCCTGAAAATTTTATGATAAATACTTTGTGAATGATTTCCCCGTTAAAGGTTAATATTGTATAACAGAAGCGTGTGAAGAGTGTAATAATAAACTTTGGAAGCAATGTTACCAATCTCCAATGAACCTATTTACATTCTCATCACGCCTATAGAATAATGTTAATTATTGGGCTGTGTAAAGCAATAACGGTTCTTTACGAGCTGTGCCAATATATGAAAGACATTTTTCTGGGTAATACGTTTGTAAACTTCTAATGACATTGGGCGTCTCATTACAATATAGCACCTGCTACATCATAGTTAAACTGTCGGCTCCGTGCCATCTAACATTACAGTAATCATATTAAGACTTTTATTAGGCCGACCTGTTTCCAGACTACTTCATCTTGGAAAGTAGAAAGTAAACCAAAAATAGCTGCAGGCAAACCACTATCAGAATTTTCCTCGCTCTTATATTAAATTAAAATGCCATTAAGACAATGCTATCACGGGAATCTGATTAGCAAAAGAGATGCTTCGGTTAAAAGAACTAACAACCCATCTTTCTAGCTATGGGAGTCTTTAGTCTGAATCGGTTGGTTTTGCCCCTAATTCATTCTAGGAACAATAGCATGCATGGTACAAATATTGACTAGCTCTAGCCAGATTCTCTTTACCCCTGCTTCGGGTTGATCCAAGGTTTTGGACAATTTCAAACTATTATTTGCTAAAATAACCCCTTTCTGACATATTATTAAAATGAGTTCTTACTTCAACAATTCGCGCGAAACTACAACATGTTATTATTAGTTGGGCCAAATGAACTATAGAGTTTAAAAAAAAAAAAATTGAAAGTAGTCAGAAGCGAACATTTTTGAAAAAATTGTCATGATCTGTTCCGCTAGTAGTCAGTCTGTTTAGTTCGATATAATCGGACCAAATTTCTTTAGAATTCTACATTTATTTTGTGGTAGAAGCATCAAATTTGGCACAGTGATGGGATTTTCGTAATGGAAGTAATAAAACATACGATTGTTTTTGTGGGTTTTTTTTTTTTTTAGAAAAATTTATATATGTGAAGCTTAGCCACGTAAAATTACGTTCAATTTCCAACAGTCTGATGCAATGACTTTACCAATACAATAGAGTTCGAGAATAAGAAAAATGTGACAGGGTATTTATTTAAAAATGCTGCTAGATCACGCAGCCGTTCTTAAACCACCAAATATATTTGCTTTGCATTTCCTTTATGGTTTTGGATTCGTAAATGCGCAGCTGATATTTTAAATATTCGTCCCCACAAAACAGGAATCTGCTTGAATCGGAATTATTACCGTAGATGAATTTCGAAGGGATCCACATGCAATATTGTTTACTATACCATATCTTATCATTGCGTTAAATTTAGGACTTTTACTACAAAATGCACAACAATTTCACCATTCACCATTCTGCCGATCTAATTATGTTGGTCTGGGGTCGGTGGGGCTTGCGATAAGAATAGATGAAAAAATATAATTAGGTTTTTTTAAATTATAAGGCTATTATGTTCACCGTATGAAATAATAAATCAATTTTAAGAGATATTTAGCACCGTAAAAATTTAGCTATACGAAAATGATAACCAAATCATGTTAGTATACGTAATATGCTTGGTTTAATATCTACTACTCATTTTTAGCGTACAGCCAAAATTTTGTCTATTGTCAAAATCCTAATAGTATAGCGGCGGTAAATAGAGGATTTTAAGGAGGGTGGAGGGTGAGTGAGATAGTCAGGTACCGTATATGCAAAAAAGAGGTTAAATATACACTAAATATACAAAGTGTGAGGTCAGAATAAAAAGATAGTGCTAGTGTTAGAGTTGGTGTCAAGTAAAAGAGTTAGCCCAAGCACCCTAATCTGATGTCCAGGTTGGCAAAAAAATTACACTTTGGGAAATATATTATATTTTAAAATTGAAACTCATAGTCATATTCCAGAATTAGTATGTTCTATCTACCTTTAAAGATATATTATGGAAGATTAGATAAAGAGCTGTCAGTTCTCGTTTTAATAGTTAAAAACTTGATAATGTAAAAGGAATATGCTCAAAATTTAAGTCAAATTGCTCCACTCTGAACAGAGATATTAGCGATTGAATTTTCGGCTTAGCTTCGATCACCATTACTAAAGTCGGTACGATAAAAAAAACATAGTCTCGATTATCCATTTTTGGATTTAATCATCAATGAACGTTGAGCACCAAATTGAAACTCATAATCATATTCCAGAATTAGTATGTTCTATCTACCTTTAAAGCTATATTATGGAAGATTAGTTAAAGAGCTGCCAGTTCTCGCTATAATAGTTAAAAACTTGATAATGTAAAAGGAATATGCTCAAAATTTAAGTCAAATTGCTCCACGCTGAACAGAGATATTAGCGATTGAATTTTAGGCCTAGCTTCGATCACCATTACTGAAGTCGGTACGATAAAAACATAGTCTCGATTATCCATTTTTGGATTTAATCATCAATGAACGTTGAGCACCAGGTAGGATTCAAATCCAGTGAAAATCCGACACATAAGATGGCATCAAGAGTTGATTAAGGTCTTTTCATGTTAATAAATGTCTAATTACGTGTAATAGTTTATATAACATTTCAGGCCTAAAAAAAAGACCTGCAATAGGAAGTTTTAGCTCTTACATAATGTATGTTTAAGTAGTGGATAATTATATGATTCATGTGAGGCAAGCAGTTAACATTTTATTTTTTACTTTATTATTGACCTCAAAAGTTACCAGCCACTGTTTTGACCTGGACCATTGAGTTTATTCAATTCTCTTATACTGGATGGGATAAATGATTTAGAACAAATTTCGATATGACATCAAATTTCTTTTATTTTATCTTCATTTCGAAATGAATATAAATTTGCTGGGTCGAGATTTATGAGATTCTTAAGATAGGGAGGAGTAAGGTTATTTATAATTTTGTATAGGAATTTTACTTTACTTTGTGTCCATTTTGTCGTTCTTTGAGTGGAATAAACACAGTTTCCGCAAAGAGGGAATCATGGCTAGTACCTTTAGCCGCGACAGATTGAATGAAGAATATAAGGTGTTTAGCGATTTTCTGTTTAAACGATATTTTAAGGATATTTCAAAGGATATTTCATACTTTACTAATGATACTATCAATGTGGCTGTTCCATTTACAATTGGTTTAAAAAGTAATTTCAAAATGTTTATGTTCAGTTACTTCCTTTATTCTCATTGATTTCATTAATAGGGGTGGTTTCACAATGTTGCGTTTAGTCGTGAGGGTTAAAGTTTCTGTCTTGAGGGGGTTAAATGTCACTAGCCACGTTTCCGTCCATGCATTGATTGTTTTGAGAGTTTTGTTTAGGGTAGCTGCGCATGCCTCTGGATCATCTATTTTTATGTACAGAGAAGTGTCATCTGCAAATAGTCTGATGTTTGATTGCATATCATTCACAATGTCGTTGATATATAATAAAAAGTAATAGTGACCCCAATACACTGCCCTGTGGGACACCTGCGGCGACGCATTGGTGTCGATTGTTTAAATAGATCTTGAACCTTAATAATACCCTCCTCGGACCCCAGCAGCATCCAGCATGTAACAGAGTCTGGCATGCCATACTCTGTCACAAAAGACGATCCTGGTATATCTGTTATTTAGATTTAGATCTGTTAATTGGAAGATAGTAGAATCACCTAGTAGGAAACCACTTTGCAGTATTGTTAGTATTGAATTGTCCGTTAAGAAGTTAAAGACGTGTTTATATATTATTTTCTCAAATATTTTGAGAAATTTTATTATCCACTGTAATCATCTTCGTTTTTGGCGTAACACTTTATTTGAGATGAAAATGAAGGAAAATGGTTACACTAGCGTTGTATTGCCTCATAATTATTTACTCCAACATTACTTTTGACCTTACCCAATAATGTCATATATTGGTTTATAGAATATATAATAAAACGCCCATGGGCCTAATCGCCCTTAGAGAGAGAGAGTGTGTACACTTTACGCTTAGTGAGAATAGGTACGAGTATATGTAGATGTAACAATCACGAGGATATATTGCATATAATATACTCTTCAGAAAAAGTAGGGGATATTCAGAAACAATACAAAACTGCGGAAATGCACTGCTGTTTTTATTAGAGGTAACCAGTGTATGTTAATAACAGGCCAATTGCCTACACATGAACATAAACAGTTCATATGGGCGGCTTATCTGACGGCTCCATTTCACTCGCGAAGAGATACACTGTCAAAAGTGAAAATGGACGTTTTTGATTTTTGTGTTAATAATGAGTAATTGCTCCACCAATCCTCAGACAGTCAGCAATTCGTCGTGGTATGCTCCTAATCAACCGTCCAATCACGATTTGGGGCGATCTAACCCACTCCTCTTGTAGTCCCATGGCTAATTCTTGCAGTGTTGTAGGTTGACGTTGACGAACAAGTCTCCCGATCATAATCCAGACATGCTCTATAGGGGAAAGGTCAGGACTCATGACTGCCCAAGGCATATGGACAATATGGTAACGCTGGAGGTAGTCATTCACGACACGAGCGTGGTGGCCACGGGCATTGCCATCTTGAAAGATGAAACGTCGACCTGCACGTTGGGCAAAGGGCAGAACTATCGGTGCCAGGATGTGGTCACGGTAGTACACACCAGTGACCCTGCCTTGAACAATATGCAAGTCCGTTCTGCCAGTCATGGTGATTCCTCCCCACACCATAACAGACCCAGGCCCGAATCTGTCATGCTGTCTGACGTTAACGTTAGCATGACGCCCATTTACACGTCTCCAAACACGAGCAGGCCTATCGGTGAAATCCAGAGTAAATCTAGACTCATCTGAGAACATTACACGCTGCCTACACCATTGACGCCTGTTTGCCATGTGCTGGCGAGTTAATGGAGGCACAACACACGGTCGTCGCGCATGCAAATGGGCTGCATGTAGCCGATTTCTAATCGTTTGGGGTGTAACTCGAATTCCTGTAACTTGGTACAAGTTTACAGAAAGCTGATTGGCCGTTTGACCTCGATTTCGCAGGACCTGTGTACGAATGTATCGATCCTGGGCTTGTGTAGTGGCTCTAGGATGACCTGAACGAGGTCTATCATCAACATTGTGTGTTTGTTGGTACCGGTTCCACAGTCTGCTGGTCACAGACTGTGACACATTAAGCATGTTGGCTACTGCTCGCTGTGTAGAACCCATTTGAAGCATGCCAATAGCACGTAGACGTTCATCATGTTGAATACTTCTCAAGGCAAAGATACGCTAAACAGTAAATCTTATGCAAGAACCGACAGGAAAGCAAACATGGATAGGATAAACCAACACGCGGCAGTTTTCATCAACCCTTCCTTGAAGTGTCAAATTTGACAATGAACCCCTCCCACGTGTATGGCGCTATTGCGTGTCGCACGTGCAGCCCAGTGGTTCTGTTGGGGCGATAAGTTCTTCATCTGTGAACATACTCTCAAAGCATGTCAAGTGTCCATGGCTATTTATCATATCACAACCTGCATAGGTATTTGCATTTCAATATCCCATACTTTTTTGAAGAGTATATATACGGTATACTGTAACGTTAAAAATCAAGGCTAACCATAAATATGGCATCTATTCCTTTGAAAATTTTAAATCAGATTGATATTTATAAAATAAAATACACTTACCTTTCCAGAAGATTTAATGCCTTTAATCATACAGAGATAGACGATAATCCATGCACCCAGTAAACCAACACACATTTTCCAGTTTAGATAACTGGTAGCTTCTATAGAGGGAGCTGTCTGTAAGGTGTCTCTGTACCAGAAGTAACTTGGTGGGCTGCTTTTCTTACAAAATAAACAAAAGTTGTCAACAAGGGTCACATACTTAATAATATAATACAATCCAAACGATAGATTTTAGAGGCAGCTGTGATATATGTGCTCTGTGTATTTGAATCTTTTTTTTACTGTGTTGCTTGTGTTGTGTTATGACTTTTAGCATAGAAACTTTTAAATCATATATGACAACGTTACTGCCAAACTTTTACTCTTTTGGGATATATTTTATAAGATATTTGCAAAACTGTGTTTTATATTATTGGATTGTATACAAAAGGGACAAATGACCACCTCAAGTTATCAATTGTACTCACTAACAACCTTTAATCCACCTCAACTGATCAACAGTAATCATCATTGTTTTCGAACTAGAGGGGCCAGAGGTGGACGGAAATGGGATAGAAAGAACAAAGTGATTACAACTAACAAAACTAACTTATTCAAGGCACACAGGGAAGTAAAGTTCTCTAATCTTTACAAAATACCAATCAATAAACATATTGAAAAACTGCCATATAAACCCAAAATCTCTGATTCTTTTAAATTATGTTTACTTAATGCACAATCTGTCAAAAACAAAACTGACGAATTGGGAGAATACATATATGATAATGATCTTAACATTTTTGTTTTAACCGAAACGTGGTAAAGTCAACAGATAACTTTGCTATAAACCAACTCATCCCCGAAAATTAAGATTTTTCACTTGCTAAAAGAGAATGTAGGAATGGAGTGGTATCGTCCAGAGAAAGTCTATGGCGTCATCTATACTCAATTCATCCAAATATAACAGCTTTGAGATCCTGCAGCTGAGATTTCAGTGCAAAAGTATGGAAGCCTATAACTACCATTCATAATTTCTACTTTTCGCCTCTTCAGAACACGAAAGTCGAAAAGTCGAAAAGTAGAAGTTACGACAAAATGTGAGGCGACAAGACGGTATACAAGCCAAAATCAACTCGAAAATAGGAAATTAAGAAATAACACACCGCGATAATAGCGCCCCCCGTTTTTTCTTAATTTCTACTTTTCGACTTGCATTTTGGCTTGCATACCGTCTTGTCGACTTTCGACTTAGTCATATTTTTGTATTTATTGATGTCAGTAAGAAGGCGCCAACACGCTATACAAGCCAAAATGCAACTCGAAAAGTAGAAATTAGGAAATTAACACACTGCGCTATTAGCGACCTATGATCTGTCGTACTGTCGACTTTTCTACTTTTCTACTTTTCGACTTTCGACTTTTCGCCTAGGAAGTTGTTGTAGTCTCTGCCTTCCAGGTCACATTTGAATACGCGCAATTCCCGTTAACAAAAATGTCTGTGTGATAGAGTCTAGTAATTGCTGGGACCATTCTATAGAAAATTCTGCTGCGATAGCTATTCTGACAAAAAAATTAGTCTGGTGTAGTGGCTATTCTGCCGAATATTTCTACTGTGATTGATAATCTCACGAAATTCCTGATATTCTAAAGAAAAATGGTGCTTTTGGAACCAATCTATAGAAAATCCTACTGTGAGAACCAAGCTAGAAAGCCATTCTGGTGTAATGGCTATTGTGACGAAAATTCTGGTGTAATGGCTATTGTGACGAAAATTCTGGTGTAATGGCTATTGTGATGAATTTTTTTTTTGCTGTGGTGAATAATCTTACGAAAATTCCTGCTCTGCTGAATAATCTAATCACAATTCCAATTGCTGGGACCATTCTATAGAAAATTCTGCTGCGATAGCTATTCTGACAAAAAAAAAGTCTGTTGTAGTGGCTATTCTGCCGAATAAATCTGCTGTGATGGATAATCTCACGAAATTCCTGATATAATGGATATTCTAAAGAAAAATGGTGCTGTTGGAACCAGTCTATAGAAAATCCTATTGTGTGAACCAAGCTGAAAAGCCATTCTGTTGTAATTGCTATTGTGACGAAAAATTCTGATGCGCCGAACATTCATAGCCTACATAGGGCCAACCCTGTTTTATTTGTCTCTTATCGCCGGGACTCTTTTAGTTTTTAACTGCCTGTTTTATGAAATAATCTTCCATTTACTATATAATAGTGTACATCTTTATATTCTTTTAAAAACAACTTAACACGTTTATTTAAACAGGATTTAACTGACACAGTATGCGACTGATAATATGTCCATAATTTTGCTTGTTGGTTTGTTTTGTTTTGTTTTTTTTTATATATGGTTACATTGCCAGTTTGTAAAGTGCCACTGCACACGGTATATGAAAGGGTCCACTATAAATATGCTGTAATAGTAATAAATATGCTGTAGAAGTAATAAATAATATACTATTAAAAAAAAGTAGGGGATATTTGATTTTGGGGGCATAATACTAAAATATGCAAATGACTATGAAAACAGTCACTATAGAACCTAACAGAAGAAACATTTCCAGTTACATGTGACGCCCAAACGCACCAATAGCTACCGCATGGAATGCAGGTGATGCTTGGGATCATCATGGGGGTCCAACCCAAGATTTGCACGACTCTGACTTTGAATGTTACAGTCATTGTGACATTGAATTCCAGGGTGGAAACATCAGTTTAATTGTTTTAGTGACCAGAAAACAAATTTTGATATGCGTCGGCTTACCCAAAATGAAAGGTTACGTGCCCTTGGCATGCTACAGATCGGCACAACACAGGCGGTTGTGGCGCGGACGATGAATGTTTCTCAGTCTGTCATAAGCAGGCTATGGTCCAGATACCGTGATACACAATCTGTACAGGACAGACCACGCTCAGGTCGACCAAGGGCGACAACTCAAGCCCAGGATCGATTTATCCGTACCTTGGCCTTGAGAAATCGTGTCATCACAGCAAATCAGATCAGCGCTCGTCTTCAAACAGACACTGGTGTGAGAGTGAGTGGCCAGACGATTCGGAATCGACTGCATAGAGGTCACCTTCGCGCCCGACGTCCTCGCGTGATCCCTTGTTTGAGAGATCATCACATTCAGGCAAGACGTCGTTGGTGTAGGGATCGTCAACACTGGGATAATCGACGCTGGAGCAATGTGATGTTTTCAGATGAGTCAAGGTTCACTGTTGATTTTTTGGACAGACGTAGGAGGGTGTGGCGTCGTCGAAACGAGCGCTTCCAAGACGTTAACGTCATCAGACATGATCGATTTGGGGATGGTTCTGTTATGGTGTGGGGAGGCATCACTGTTGCTGGAAGAACGGCTTTACATGTTGTTGCAGGGCGTGTTACAGGCCAGTACTACCGGGACAACATCTTGGCAGTCCATGTTGTGCCGTTCGCACGACGTCATGGCCGCCGTTTCATCTTCCAGGATGACAACGCAAGATGTCACTGGGCCAGGATCGTTACAGGTTACCTCCAACAACAGAACATCACCACATTACCTTGGCCAGCACTGAGTCCCGACCTCTCCCCCATCGAGCATGTCTGGGACATGCTTGGACAGAGGTTACGTCAACGTCAACAACGTCCTGCCAATGTCCAAGAACTTGCTGCTGCGTTGCAACAGGAATGGGACAATCTGGACCAAAATGACCTTAGACGTCTCATTAGGAGTATGCCACGTCGGATCAATGCTTGTTTGGCAAACAGAGGAGGATTTACCCGTTACTGACTTGGTTGTGATGCTGCGGTAACTTTGCTGTTTGACCCCGGGTATCATTTTACCCTTACAATGGTCAGTCTGTGACTTACTTAGTCTAACGATCATTTGGAATAAATCGATGAATGTGAACTTCATTTCATTTTGTCATTTGTTTCTTCGTCAGTTACATTAGGTGACTTTAATAACACTTAAAAATCAAATATCCCCTACTTGTTTTGAATAGTAAATATGCTGTTATATTAATAAATATGCTGTAATAGTAATAAATATGCTGTAATAGTAATCTATAGAAAATATTACTGTTGGGACCAACCTATAGAACATCCTGCTGTGAAGGCCAATCTGAACTAATATAAATCAGTACAGAAAAATCCCGCTGGAGATTAATCTGAGCAAAATCCCTGCCGTGAGGGATAACCTAAAAAAAATCCTGTGGTTGGGACCAATGATGAAATTCCTGCTGTGACACGAATCTAAATACAAAATCGTGTCTTGGGGCCAATCGAAATTTTAAAAAAATCCTGCTGTTGTGAGAGCCGATCTCCGATATAAATACGGTGTTTGTGGGTGGTGGGTGGGGGTGTATAGAATATTTATTTCTTTCGTCACTTTTTTGTGTATATTGGGGGCGGGATTAATGGCGTTATGGTTGAAAGATTGTCAAAGTTAGCGATATAAATAAGGCTATATTAGTTTATTTTTCTACTTTAAACTCCTGGCCTGGAATAGCAGGTAAACGGGTTTTAACATTTATGTAGTAGTCAATGTGGTCTGCCCCCAATTGTTCAAATTATTTCCCTTGATATTTCGAAGGTGAAGGCTGGCAGCGGTCAATCATTCTGGTCTAGTGGCTATGATGCTTGTCACTTTGTATTGGCTACGTAAGAGTGTTAACCAAAATAATCACCATCATTACTAGACTCTATCACACAGACATTTTTGTTAACGGGAATTGCGCGTATTCAAATGTGACCTGGAAGGCAGAGACTACAACAACTTCCTAGGCGAAAAGTCGAAAGTCGAAAAGTAGAAAAGTCGAAAGTCGAAAAGTCGACAGTACGACAGATCATAGGTCGCTAATAGCGCAGTGTGTTAATTTCCTAATTTCTACTTTTCGAGTTGCATTTTGGCTTGTATAGCGACTTGGCGCCTTCTTACTGACATCAATAAATACAAAAATATGACTAAGTCGAAAGTCGACAAGACGGTATACAAGCCAAAATGCAAGTCGAAAAGTAGAAATTAAGAAAAAACGTGGGGGCGCTATTATCGCGGTGTATTATTTCTTAATTTCCTATTTTCGAGTTGATTTTGGCTTGTATACCGTCTTGTCGCCTCACATTTTGTCGTAACTTCTACTTTTCGACTTTTCGACTTTCGTGTTCTGAAGAGGCGAAAAGTAGAAATTATGAATGGTAGTTATAGGCTTCCATACAAAAGTGAAATTATCCATCTTGTGCCTCCAGCATAAAAAAATAACAAATCTAACTTTGGAAAATGTCTTGAAGAATTTTCTGATCTACTCCATGTTTTGTCTTCCGCGTCGGGGCGTTTAGTTATAGTTGGGGATTTCAATATTCACCTCGATATCCCACTTGACAGACATACAAAGAATATCACTGAACTTCTCAACTTAATCTTACTCAGATAACTGAGCCTTCTCATCGCGCTGGTCATACCCTAGACATTATTATTACGAGAATCAATGATTATTTACTAAATGCCATTCATGTTAAAAATGACTTTATAAATCTGGACCAATAAAACGCACTAATCTTTCCAAAAAACTAGAAACATTGACGTTGAGCAATTCAAAGGCGACATAACTTATGAGCAGTTTTATGAACAGATAATATTCATCATAAGATTGAACAATATAATAGAATTCTTATTAAATTAAACTAAAAGTATAACTATCAGATCAAATAGAAATTGGTTTAATGATGAAATTCAGAAAATGTAAACAGCGGAAAAACAGTGGCGAAATTCAAATCTAGAAATACACAGGCAAATATATATAAAATGTAAAAATGAGACTAACACTACAATAAGAAATGTTAAACTTCGCCATGTTATGATCAGTATTCTTGAGAATCGTGGTAATATCAGCGAATTTCACAAGATTATCAATACAATTCTAAATAAAGACGGGTCAGAACAGACACTCCCAGTAAATCGGGACTCAAAAGTTTTGGCAAATGATTTTGTTAATTTTTTCATAACCAAAGTTGATACTATACGATCAGGTCTTGGAACAATTCCACTCGCTGACTCTCAGGATGGTAAACACGATCTTAACTACCATCTGTACGCCGACGACACTCAAATTAAAACTCAACGATGACAAAACAGAAATAATGAAAGTCGGCAGCAGGCAGCGACTACTAAAATCTAAAACAGAAAACGATCAAATTGACAAAAATATATCTATTACACCAACAGATTCTGTAAAAAAATCTTGGTCTTTATTTTGACTCTAATCTGGACATGAATAGACAAATTTCGGCCATGTGTAAAAGTATTAATTTCAGATTTATAATATTGGAAAAATTAGTTAAATCTTTCATTGATAGTGACACGGCTAAAATGCTGGTAAACACTATGGTTACATCAAGACTCGACACATGACACCAATTCTGAAAGATCTCCAATTGGCTTCCAGTCCGTTAACGTATCAATTTTAAAATACTGTCTATTACGTATTCTGCTCTAAATGACGATCCTTCACGCCAATACCTGCAGAACCTTTCGATCACAATCAGGCAACCTCTTAATTAAGCCTGTTTCAAAAACCAACTCCGGTGATAGATCTTTCGCAGTTGGATCTCCGAAGTTATGGAATTCAATATGAAACGAAACCAAAAGCGAAAATTATATTAAAGGTTTTAAAAAGTATCTCAAAACCGAAATTTTTAATCAAATATACAACTGATTGAATACGGTTCTAGCTGTGTTTGTGTCAGACTTTTACCATGTGTACTAAATAATGTTCTCTCTTCTTTGTTTATGTCTTTTTTATGGATTAATGTGTTGTGATTGTTGTAATTTTATATTAGTTGTACTTATGTAAGGCGCCCGAAAGCAGCTGGCTGAGTTGAATTGTCGGCACTATATAAATTAATTATCATTATTATTATTATTATATATACACCCATTATATATACACCGATGGTCCCGTGTACACATTGGCGTACACGTAAAAGATCCCTTGGAAGTTGGAATTGGATATATGAGTATGCCGTAGCGCCGCTGTTCGCACAAACTTTCCCTCATAGCACACTGTATGATGTATGCCCATCTTCATTGGCCCAGTCGGAGCAGAAAAGTAGGACGTATTGAAGAAATTATAATCGAATTTTCAAAAAAAATTTATTGGTGTTTCTGTTTTTCGCTGCTGAACTATCTTTAATTTCAGATCTAGACGTTTAACACTATAACTTATGCATGCTTACCTCACATTCTGGCACAGGGACATAAGAATCGTTGGGTCCGAGATTATGTGGACACGTAGCCCAAGGTAATGGACTCTGAAAACTTTGAACTAAATACACCAAACACCAGGCCATGATAGTATTATAGTACAGCGATACATTAAACGACGCAATAGAAGAAGCTATACCGATTCCTCCTAGATATGGTGACACTTGATTCCACGCACCATAAGCACCTTTGCGAAGTCTTTGTCCTATGGCCAGTTCTAGATAAAACAATGGAATACCTTCTATTGCTAACATAACGGCATATGGAATTAGAAAGGCACCTGAAAATAAAGTGAAAAAATAAAAGTAGGATTTAATAATATTGAATACATAATTCATTATTTTTCAAAATAATAATAAAAGAATATCATATACCTTAAGTGACAGATATTTTTAAATGGAATTAAAAGATAGCCATGCAATGCGAGAAAATATACCCACACAGCAGCCGGGTCTTGGAAAATTATAACTATAGACGTCAGCTTATTCGTTGGAAAACATGGATGTTTACCACACTTGATTTGAATCCTGTATACTTTCGAGAAATCTGGGTTCTATCGTTTTAAAACAAACTTTTCTGGACACTGAATGCCGACCATCAACAGGGTCCATTCTCCACGACCCCAATCTACAATTTCAATCTATTAAAGATAATTTACGCTATATCTTCAAACCGTATACAAAATAAATTTGTAGGTTTAGCTATTATATTACATAAATATATTGTGATATTTGTCTGCAGCTCAGAAAGTATCCCATTCTATTGTATGTGTACTGTGAATCCGGGAAACCCAAACGTATTAGTAATAAAAATGTAGCTTAACATAAATTGACTGCAAAATAATCTGACTGGAAATTATTTTCCTTAAAAATACATATCCCTTAGGCGATGAACAAATTCTACAAATAGCGGGTGGGTCGGATCCTGAGCTATTGTCTAGTTGTGTAATCCACCGTGGGAAACGTTACACTCCGCCATGTCATATTACTGACAATGTTAATGAACTGTGATGCTAAGTTTCTCTGGAACATATTTTATTTCTTTTAGTTTGGACAGTGTCATCATTCGTTAACAAGAATAAGACACGGTGGTCTCTAGAGGTGATCTAAAAACTACGAGGAAGACTTGAAATCTCCGATCTAATGTAAATTGGGTAGCACGAAATCATTATTCATAATTTAGTGTTTCTATCATTTAACAATCAGAAATAGACGCTAAGCACGATATCTGAACCCATTGTTTTCCTTTTCTAAACTTATTTTATACGATCCTCTATCACAACGTCATATTTAGATACTAGTACTATATTTTTCACAGTCTAGTTTACATATTTCAGAAAAATAAAACAATTAGTCGAAAAATCTACACATTGTTCTAGGGGCCTTAAATATGTAATCGAAACGAATGACATCTTATCTGCTTCAATATACATTTTGCAAGAGCTAAATCTGCCTATTGCAGGTCTTTCTTTAGGCCTGAAATGTTATCTAGATTATTAATTAAACATTAACTAACTTATCCAGACCATACTCAACTCTCGATGTCATGCAATGTTTATTGGATTAGGTTCCGATTTCCTGTTCGACTTCCATTCATAATTTAATCATGAAATGGATAATCGAGACTATGTTTTTCATCGTACCGACTTTAGTAATCAACTCTTGATGTCATCTTATGTGTCGCATTTTCACTGGATTTGAATCCAATCTGGTGCTCAACGTTCATTGATGATTAAATCCAAAAATGGATAATCGAGTATGTTTTTTTTATCGTACCGACTTTAGTAATGATGATCGGGGCTAGGCCAAAAATTCAATCGCTAAAATTTCGGTTCAGAGTGGAACAATTTGACTGAAATTCCCTTTACATTATCTAGTTTTTAACTATTATAGTGAGAACTGTCAGCCCTTTATCTAATCTCCCATAATATACTATATAGCGAAAAAACAAAAAACGTCAGTACGATTTCAAAATTAGAGAGGCACTTTAAACAAATCATTCTAGAAAACGACTTACTAAATGGATCAAAGCATTTTTTTGTGAACAGTATGTTGACAGAATAGTGATTAATTCATCACAATTCCAAGACATTACGAGAAGGTTTAGAGTCTGTACACAGTCTATAATCAGTATCTGGTGTGTCCACAGCGAGTGTCATTAACAGCAGCGCAGCGTCTGTACATGGAGTGGACCAGACGATTGATGAACGCCATTGGCACCTGGAACCTCACTCTTAGAAAAGCCTGGCGCAATCCATCGGCTGTGTTTGGTCTCGGTACGACGTTATTAAGTTTCCTCTGTATTTCATTCCGAAGATGTTCAATCGGGGTTAAGTCCGGACTAAGGGCTGGCCAGTGCATAACCTTGACATCGTTCTGCTGTAGAAAGTCCCGAGTAACTCTGGCGGTGTGCGCACGGGCGTTGTCATGCTGGAAAAAGTTGTTTCGATGACGTGCGAAATGTTATATGACGTGGGGTCTGAGAGCTAGATCGATGTAGGGCACTGCTATGATGCCGCCTCCCCACATTGGACCAAGATTTTGGAACACCACAGAACCCACTCTCTGGTTCAGGCCGATTCCAAGCCAAACCATTATGCTTGGACCACCCCATGAGTCTCGTTCCATGACACAGTGGTCAGAATAACGATGGCCACGTCGACGCCACATTCTGGTCCTTCCATCTGCAGTTGACACGCAATACCGACTCTCATCTGTGAACAGAACAGTACTCCATTGCCTGTGTCGCCAGTTCTGGTGTTGTTGGGCAAACTGTAGACGTTCACGTCGATGGCGAGGGGTAAGGATCGGTCTACGGCAATGGATGTTCTCTCTGGTGAGACGTCGGCGCACTGTATCGGTACTGATGGGTCTTCCGTGTGTTCCCACTGTCTGACGTGCTGTCTCAGATGTCTGTGCGAACGAATTCTGCACAACATGGCGGTCTTGTCGCCTTGTTGTAACCCTTGGTCTACCAGTTCGGGGACGATCATCCGTGTTGTTGTTGGCCCGAAAGCGTTGCTGAAGCTGTAGATGGTCCGAACACTTGCCTTGATGTGGTTGGCAACGGCTTGGACAGTGTGGCCAGCGTCTAGTCTTCCAAGCGCCTGGTTCCTCTGGGCTGTCGTGAGTCGTGGCATGCTGCTGACGTTGTAGTGTGAATGATTCAACAAGGTATAGGGCTGCGTTTTATAGGCTGGTCCCGGTGAACAGCACGTGTAGCATCTGTTACATGAAAATCATGGAGAACACATAACCATCTCAGAAGTCAGGTTGCGTTTTTGAGAACATTTCCTGGGTTCAATTCTGTGTTTGGGAAGGAGCCTTATTGCTCAGGTAAAGTTGGAGATGTTGTCACAAATATACAATAAAAACATTTGGCAAGTTTTATGCAATGCGTCTATTCAGAGTAAAATACCAACCTGACGTTTCTTTTGCTGCTTAGTATATATCTTTCACTGATTTTAAGCTCTAATTGAACTTTACTGCAGCAAAGTAAAAATTCAGAGGTTTTCGTGAGATTCGGGTAAATAGGCTTATACACAGGGCATAATTATATGGAATACAATTACTGTTTGATGTTCCCTAACAATATTTCCAGAAGAGTCAATCGTGATTGAGCGGCAAGTCCAGAGTTGGGCAAGAATGTGGGGACGGACAGGGCAATTCGTATCCCCCATCGCCGCCGTTGAAGGCCCAGTCATGTCTTTTGAGATACAATGTCTAATGATGAAACGTAAAATATGATATTATATACATGTAAAAACAATACTTAGTTAATGATAACCAGTCTTAAAGATACATTATGTAAGACCTAAATCTGCATACCACAGGTCTTTATTTTGGCTTCAAATGTTATATAATCTATTATTTAGACATTCATTAACATGACAAGCCTATAATCAACTCTCTAGAACATCGAATACGAACACCCGCAAGATTAAAAAAATTAACAATGAAATGAACAATCGAGACTCGTTGAATAAACAATGTGCGCTACATCTTCAAACATTCATAACTTCGCTCAGAATAAAGTAATTTTAAATGAAATTCTCAATACATTATCACCTTTTTTTAAAACTATTATACTAGCAAGAACGGTCAGCTCTTTATCTAAATCTTACCTATACATCTTTAACTATTGTAAAATGATTATGGAAATGATCAAAGTTGATTAGTATAATTATTTCTCACTGTGATTTTGGACCGAATATATGACTGTTTATTTAGTGTTATTAATTCATCTGTATCGAAGCGTTAAATTATTAGATACAACATTAGCGTAAACATTACTTGGCTCTCTTAGTAGTGGATATAACAACCACCTTACACCACATCAGGAGATCACTTGTACAGAGAGCGATTTTAGTGCGAAATAATTATCAAATAACCTAAAAACAAACACTAAATCCAACAAAATCTTCATCAGGTAATTAGATCTTTCTTTTTTCCCCTGATTTATCTGTATATTGAATCGTTGGCGTGTTAGATACGGGGTATTTCTTTCTGTATTATTCCTGAATTGGTTCACACACAAGTTGTCTTTGATAGTTCATCGGATATTAAGAACATACCCAGCATATAGCAGTATTTTCATTTCCTGGCGAGTGAATGAGTTTTTGGTTTTATCAATTATTATCAAATCCCCTACATACCAACATTCTAATTACAAACCTTACTTCATCTTAATCTCGAATAAATATGCTATCAAAAAACATATCACATAAGCTAATAATTTTCAGAAATATTTAGAGTGTTCTTATGAATTTATTTATATTTTCTCACAGAGAATCTTTATCTGTAATCATAGAAATATTCTTTTTTTCAAAGAAAATGAAATGAAATGAGGTTTTCTGCACCAAACGGGATAATAAAAACAGACAAAGGGAAAGCCGGCCTATTCCAATTGCATAGAGGTCTTTTACGTGCACACCAACACACCTCGGGTGTTCGTCCCATCCGAACGAATAGACACTGTTTCTTGTCAGGCCCTTCGTCTTGCACCACTGAAAAGCGAAAACCACGCTGGAAATTCCAGAGGGAATTTCTCGGCCAACGCAGTACACACGGAGTCACCGTAGCAATTTTTAATAAGACCCAACTTTGTGTCATGACCGAGTTCGCTTAATTTGTAAGTAATTTAAGATGTCGTGATTTGTTGTAACCATGAATAACATTACATTGAATCGATATAAAATTACATATATATATCTTATCTAAAAGGCAATCATAATGTACTAGACAAATACACTACCGTTAGACGAACACATGGACTCTATTG